ACGCTTGGGTTGGCTAGTTAACTGACAGCATTTGTAGTTTGTTTTTTACCCGAGGACAACCGGATGAACCAATATATTTCCTTTTGTTTTAATAGTACCAGGCAAGACGATCAAAATCTGTGACATCAGAGTTTGTGAGACTTTGTGCATTATTGCTTGTGTGTTTTATGTAACGGGTCTCTGCTTATCGAAGTAGGTCTGGTTTAGGTGATGTTGTGTCCACGATTCTCAAGGGCGCTGACGTGGCAATAGCTGGTATGTCGTGCTCAATCCACATCCTGTTAGTTCAGCGTTCTGCCAGCATTGCCCCTATTCGTTGTCAGCCACCACCGTAACATAATGTTACGCGAATGTTCGTGATCATCAGTGAATGGTACAGATGCGACCAGTGATCCCTGTAACTGTTTTCCAAGCTTTACCAGTTCTCGTCGTTTCTCGCAATAATTCGCGTAAAGGAATCCTCATTACCTCTCAACCAATCCTTCCCCCCGGACTAACTTCCCAAGCCCACCACCCCGTTTCTTCCACTCACTCACTCCCCTTACGGAAGCAATTTCTCCCTCTCACATGCTTTCTAGGGTTTCGCAAAGCCCTTCTTTTTACACTTAGGCTCTGCATCATTGCCTTGGTTCTGTCCGGCGTAGGGAGAGTAGGAGGCACTGCACAGGCGTCCGTGTTCCCGCTTAGCCTCTCGCTTTGCGTCGCTCCTTGGATTTAAACGATACTATGGCCCACGCCATGGCTTCCGTGTCGGGAGCAGCTCTCTCCTTTGAGAAGCTCTCACTTACCACCTCCTCCTCCCTCTCCATGTCCCGCTCCTCCTTCGTCTCCTCTCCCGCTCTCGTAGCCTGCCGGCCAGTCGCTCTCTCCGCGAAATGCGGCCCGTCGTTCCCGGTGGTGTCGGCGCAGGCCGTAGCGGATGTCGCGGCGCCTGCTGCGGAGTCGTCGCGGCCGACCGGGCTTTTGTCCGGATCGGACCCCGCGTGGAAGCTGGGGACAGCGGATAAGGCGCGTCTTAAGACGTACTATGAGACCGCCGTGGTTCCCGCTATGCTCGCAGAGTTCGGTTATGCGAACCCCCAGGAGGTGCCACGTGTCGAGAAGGTGGTGGTCAACTGCGGCATTGGCGACGCGTCGCAGAGCGCTAAGGTGCGTCGCAGAGCATGAATGTGCGTCGCGAGTCGAACGTGCGTTGTAGTAAGGCGCGGCGCTCTTAATTAGTCATACACCGTCTAGAGACCCGAAGACTGTAGTTCCTGGGGATAGAGGGATAGCGCTATTGCGAACTCAATTTTGAAGCTCCCAGACCAGAAATGACTGGCATTGCGTGTAAAAGTGGTTGCGCATTTGGTTTTAATGGGTTGTTTAGGCCCAGTTATGCTCAGGATCGTGAAGCTAGCGCGGACGAGGCGGGGTGTGGTGTCTGTTGCAGCTTTTGGTTGGAATCGCATGGGGTCGTTAAGACACAGTGCAGCGTCGCATCGCGCCATCGCGGTAGTCGCACAGGCGTCGCACAACAGAGGTTGCCGAGACCACGATTTCCAATGTATGCGTCGCATCAAAGTCACAAGCTCAGCCACTTCGTAGCTCAGGAGGCGTCTTTCGCGGATACGGCAGAGTAGGGCGGGAACGCAGGGAGAGCAAGGGAGAAGGCGAAGCAGAGGGATCACCTAGACTCGATTGCAAAGGTAATCTCGTAGGACCTCACGGAACGAGAACGAATAACGGTCAGGCCAACTGGTGTGTTGCTGATTAGTCGTCGTCGTCGTCAGAAGCCGCTGCAGCTGCTATCGTTGTCGGCGATGGGAGATGGAGAGTAGAGTGTCGTTCGAATCATCTTCGTCATCTTCGTCATGTTCGTCAGGGCTATGGGACATCCGACTCGCGACTCGCCTGAGACACGATAGGGCTACAGCTGAACCTTCCGTTCCTCATGGGAAACGACCCCGCCGGTCGCGCAGCCTCGAACGAGCCAGCGACTCGAATCGAGAATCACTTTTGAGAATTCTCGAAAGTGATTCCAGTACAGCTGAAGCTGTCTGTTGCCCATGGGCATCTAGGAAACTGCCCCGCCCGTCGATTTTTGAGGCGCCTCAAAAGCCGTCGTTCATGGGAAACTACCCCGCCGGTCGCGCAGCCTTGAACGAGGCAGCGACTCAAAACTAGATGACTCTTGAGTCGACGCAACGGACGCTTGAGATGAATTTGCCCGCCCCCACCCGCTCGTGCCAGCGGCAGCCTTCCTCGCTGCCAGCCAGAACTCAGCTAGCGTCGCAAGCACAGCGCCGGGAAGCGTGGCTCGAGTTCCCCCCCCCTCCCCCCCCTCCCCCCTCCCACTCCGTTCCTCCCCCTTCCCCCGCTCCCACCCTCTTCCTCTTTCCCCGCGCAGACCCTTGACAGCGCGGCCAAGGACCTGGCGGCGGTGACGGGGCAGCGGCCCGTCGTGACGCGCGCGCGGAAGGCTATTGCGGGGTTCAAGCTGCGCGCGGGCGTGCCCGTGGGGATGGCGACCACGCTCCGCGGACAGGTAGGGCGCGGGGGAAAGGGGTAACGGCGGGGGACTGGGATTAATTGCGGGGGACGCGCGCGCGCGGAAGGCCGTTGTGGGCGTGCGAGCATGCTCATGGGGATGGCGGATATGCTTGTGATAGAATGGAGGTGGAGCGACGGATGGGAGGGCGAAGGGGCCGATTCATTAAGTGGTGAGGAAGAGTGAAGGCGGGGGGGGGAAGAGGAAGTGGTGGAAGGGAGGGAGAAAGGAAACGGAAGGGAGAGGATGGCAGGAGGGAGGAAACAGGTTGAGTGTGATATTGGTGAAAGATGGAGTGACTAAAGTGGCGATGGGAGGGAAGCAACTACAGGGGAAACTGCGTGATGAAAATCCAGGTGGCCCCTCTTCTCCCTCCCCTTCCCGCGTCCCCCATCCCACCCCCTCCTCCTCCCCCGCCCCCACCTCCCCCTATCCCATACGGTACGGCATTACTGAGTCATGCAAACAAGAAAAAAACGTCGTAACAGTTTCTATCGATAGTAAACATCTAGATGATCTGGGATTAAACCTCGTCAACCTTGACAGTCACCCCTTTTTGCCCCACACCCCCATCTCCTTCAAATTCTCTCAAATCATGTACACCTATCTGGACCGCCTTATCAACCTTGCCCCCAAACCCCATGCGCAACTGCCACGTCTCCTCAGAACCAGTTTTGCACTCGCACTCTTTTCAGAAACTGCAGTCTGCTCTTCTTGCATTCTCCCCCTTCCATTGGCCCCACCCCCACCTTTCTCCCTCTCTCCCTCAGACTATGTACGCATATCACTTCAACCTCACTCTCCCCCGCATGCGTGACTTTCATATCACCTCTGTAACCACCTCTGCATCTCACTGCTCTCCTTGCATTTTCCATCTCCCTCCCTCTCCCTCTCCCCCTCCCCTCCCCCCTCCATACCCCTCCCTCTCAGATCATGTACGCCTATCTCGATCGTCTCATCAACCTCGCTCTTCCCCGTATGCGCGATTTCCGCGGCGTCTCCCGCGGCGGGTTCGACGGCCGGGGCAACTATTCCATGGGCCTGGCCGAGCAGACCCTGTACCCGGAAATTCGATTCGACGAGATTGACAAGACCCGTGGGATGGACATTTCCATTGTCACCACCGCTAAGACTGACGGGGAGGCGCAGAGGCTGCTGGAGTTGCTTGGAGTCCCGTTTAGGGAGGGGCCGGTTCCGGTTAAGGAGGCGAAGAGCAAGGGGAAGGGGCGGGGGCGTGGGCGTGGCGGTAAGCAGCAGCAGAAGAGCAAGAAGAGGTAGAGGGTTGTGGTTCGGTTCGGACTGTGATCAGTTGTGATGTGACCCAGGAAGGTTTTGTTTGATTTCGATTTGATTTAGCTTAGGAAGTCTTTCTGTTCTAAATGGGAGCTGTAGCAGCATGTCAGCTGTACACGTACATTTAATCTCAACGGTTTCTACGAAGTATACATAAGGTTCCTAAACTCTGAGTTTTTTTTATTTTAATTGAACACTGAGCCATTATAAATGGTATAAGAATTCAGGGCGCCAATTATGGAACTGTAGCGAATAGTCACTAAAGATTCCCCAGATTTATCCCTTAAGTGCGTTCTTTTCGCGCGTCACTCTCAGCCACGCCTTTGTCGCGAAACAGTCGCCCAAGCGGCGGATGGTTTCGAACGCAAGGCATGGCTCGGAGACATCACTATTTTCTCAGACCCCTAACATAGTACACCAGATCGTAACTTACAGAACCGCAAACAAAGCTGTAAAACCGGCTGAAGAACCACTCGAACAGAATGTGCCGCGCCCTGGCAAAGAGTCGCTTTGCTTGTAGCAGCCTGGTGTTACAGCAGGCATGCATGCATGGAGTAACAATTGTCGCCTCGCCACGCCTGCAACGAAGGGAAGGGGGAGGAGGGGCGAACCATCACATCAAGCAAGAAACCGCCACACTCCACCTGTCTAGTCTACCCGCCCGCCATCACCCCGCTCGCCATCATCCCGCCCGCCATCACCCCGCCCGCCATCACCGCGCCCGCCGTCCCGTTCTTTTTCAAGAGATATTAGTAGGTGTGCTAAGCTGAGCGTGGTTTCTACGCCATTGTTCCGAAGTGAGATTCGGAATCCTCGTGTTACGGCCTTTCTTCGATGTCTGGTGACTAAGGTTGGTTTCCTACTGCTGTGAACCTGTGAAGAAACGGTGCAAGGAAACGGCCGTTCAGACACGTGGCACATTCCTGCTCGTGTAGTCACAGTCGCCACGCGGAGTTTGGCGAGCACGCTATGTCGCTCATGACCTCCGCCTTGTTACATCAGTAACTCCTGAGTCGACTCAGTAGTCACCTCGGTTGCCGCACACGGTTCTTGCTTGCTTGTGCACCCCGCCTTGCCACATCCCCGCTTTGTTTCATCCCTGTGACCAGTCGCCGAGTTCGCATTCGCATTCGCAAGCCGACGAAATAGTGTAACGTCGTCGCGACAGTTGCTGATCATGCCGGAATCCGGTCCTTGCAGTCGAGGTGATGACTCAGCCGGTAACCGCTCCGCGCGGCTGGATTTGAACCTCGAGTATTCCGCGCAGCCCTGTATTGCGGAGCTTAGCGCGGAGCAACGGGCGGAAGGCTGCGCGGGAGCGAGGAGTTCCGCAGAAAGGCGGGAATCCCTTGCGGGGAGGGGGGATTTTTCCGCGGCGAGGGGATTTTTGGTTACAGCCGCGGCGGTGGGGGAACCGTCGGCTGAAGATGACACCGCAGGGTCGGGGGAAACACCGGTGGGCGGAGCGGGTGGCGGAGCGGAGGCGGAAGAGTCGGAGGGCGGAGGCGCGGAAGAGCCGGCGGCGCTAGACGACCTCGTCGGAAGGGCGTCGCGCTTTGCGCAGAGACTGGCGCAGCGGAGACTCCAGGCGGCGGGGGAACGCGCAGGGGGAGACGCGCAGGCTGGCGGAAGGGGAAGCGGTGGCGGAAACAGCAGCGGCGGCGCAGGCGCTGGCGGAAGAGAAGGCGCGGACCACACCCGCGCGGGGGGGACGGCGGGGGGAAGCGGGGAAGGCGGAGTAGGGGGAAGCGGGGGGGACAGCGGGGGGGGCTTTCAGGCTATTTTAGCGGCAATAGGGGCGGGTGGGGATGATGAGACCGCAGGGGGGGATGGCGACACGGAAAACGAGTGTGATAATAGTGAGGACGAGGATAAAGAGGAGAGTGGTGATACTAGCGAGGATTCTAGCAGTGACGACAGTGATGATTCGGATGGGGAGGAGGGAGAAGGGGAGGACAAAGGGGAGAGCAGCAGTAGCGGAGAGAGCAGTGACGAGAACGACAATAGCGAGGATGACAGTAGCGAGGATGATGGTAACGCGTACGGCAACCAGGCGGGCAGGGGGAGCGAGTTTTGGTTCACGTTCGGCGCGCGGACAGGGATGAGCGACGAGGGGGAGGCGGAGGCGGAGGCGAGGGAAGGGGGCGCGCGGGGGAGGGGGAGCAGGGGCAAGCGGAAGGGGTGGGTGAGTCGGAAGGAGGCTGCGCGCGCGTTCAGGGCGCATCCCGTGGCGCATGCGACGCGCGTATGGTCTTCCGCGCATGGCAAGACCTCCGCGCTCTGCAGGAAACGGCGGAATGGGGGGAGTGGGGGATGCGGGGGGAGCGGGGGGAGCGGACCGGAGGAAGCGCGGAAACAGGCAGAGATGGGTGCACTGTGGAATTTTGGAGGGACGGGGGAGGGGGAGGGGGAGAGGGGGGAAGGGGAGGCGAAGGGGGAGAAGCGGAAGGGGAAGGGGGAGAAGAGGGGTGCAGAGCGGTGTGACACAGTGAACGTGCACCAGATGCTGCTGTCGCGAGAAGTGAACGTGTCGGTGCGTTTGATCTGATCTTATTTGATTCGATTGAACTCTGGATTCAACTTTCTTCCTGTCGGTGCGTTCCATCTGAATCAACGCTGAATTCAGAAATGTAAGAAAGCCCTCATTCAACTCTGTATTCACGTTTCTCCCTCTTGGTGCCTTCCACATGCCCCCCCCCCCTTCGCTCGCCGCAACATGCATGCATGTGTTGTGAATGAGGCCTTTGTGAGGTCCCCCGTGTTGACTCGTGTAGCCCTAACACACCCCATCCCTTCCTTCCCTACTGACCAATCACAGAAATTCGGTCGGTTTTCAGAGTCAGACAGGTGCCACCTGGCGCAGTCCTCTCCCCGTGCGATGGCCCCATAGCGAAGGCCATCCTCAGAGAGAGACCCTTCTTTCCCCAACTCACCTCACCCCATCCCATCCCGTCCCGGTCCATACACCAATCGTAGAAATTCGGGCGCTTCTCTGAGTCGGACCGGTGTCACTTGGCGCAGTCCTTCCTGCCATGTGACGGCCCCATGGTGGTGGACAAGGTGGCGTCGCGTGCTTATATTGGCCAGTTCAGCGGGGATGGAGACCTGTTCGTGGCTGGTTTCCAGGTGGGTGATGGGGAGTTCATGTGTGTGATGTGAGCTGCCTATGGGTGTGCTTATGTGATGGCCATCCACAGCACACGTGATGGCCAGCCACAGCACACGTGATGGCCAGCCACAGCACACGTGATGGCCAGCCACAGCATGGCCTTCTGGGTCCCATGGTGGTGGACAAGGTGGCATCACGCGCGTATATAGGCCAGTTCAGCGGCGACAGGGATCTGTTCGTGGCTGGCTTTCAGGTGAGTGGGGGAGAAGCGTTTGCTGAATGTTATGTTACAATGTGCCACGTGGTAATAGACGGCACGTGGTGCGAGTCGAGACGGCCCCATGGGGGTGGACAATGTGGCATCGCCATCACGAGTTGAACCGAGTTCTTGTTGGTGGTGGACAATGTCGATACCTCATTCTTCCTTCCACTCCTGAGACGTCACAAAGGTCATCATTTTCTGAACCAATTTCTTATTTGAGTACCTCCTTTCTCCTTACCACTACTACCGCCCCTCAGTTATCCATTGCCCCCGTTGCTTCCCCTTCTCTCGCGCATGAACCCAATTATCATGCGCACGATCAGGACCGTCGGATTCGCGTGTACGATGTGGATCGAGGGTGGGCGTTAAGGAAGGATGTGATTGCTCGCAACCTGCGATGGACCATCACCGACACTGCACTCTCTCCTGACCAACGATTCCTGGTAAGCCTTTGCCTTACTGGCACCATATGCCGCGCTGCTGATAGGATACCATTGGCTAACAAGGATGTGATTGCGTTCAACCTGCGATGGGCCGTCACCGACACTGCAATCTCTCCTGACCAACAATTCCTGGTGCGTATCTTGTGTTAACTTGGTTACCGCATGTTAAACATGACGGTTGGACCATCACCGACACAGCTCTATCTCCCAAACGGCTATTCCTCGTAACCCTTGGCTACAGAAATCGCTGAATAGCTTGGGTTGGTAACCCTTACCTCTCCATCCCTGCATGCATGGCTTGAGTGCTTAAACCACGCCTACCCTGGTTCTCACCTCTCTTCTCTCCATTTCCCTTCTCTCCACTTCCCTTCTCTCCACTTCCCTTCTCTCCACTTCCCTTCTCTCCATTTCCCTTCTCTCCACTTCCCTTCTCTCCACTTCCCTTCTCTCCACTTCCCTTCTCTCCACTTCCCTTCTCTCCACTTCCCTTCTCTCCACTTCCCTTCTCTCCTCCTCTTTTCGCTCCGTCCCTCTTCTCTCCTCTTCACTCCGCTTCTTCTCTCTCTTCTTCCTCTCTCTCGTTCCTCTCTGCGTGTCCCCTTTACAGGTGTATGCATCCATCACGCCCATCGTGCATCTGGTGAACGTCGGCTATGGGAGCGGGGAGGTTGAGTCGCTTGCTAATGTCACGGTGAGTCAGCCACGGTCGGAGAAAATGTGTCCATAAGAAACCTCCATTCTTGATAATAATAAAGTCATGTTTTGTGTTTGTTTGTTTCATCCGTTTTCTACATGTTCCTTCCACATGCTTTCTTTCGCTTGTTGTATTTGTTGATATCTTTTGAGTCGAATCAAAGTCAGCTCGATATCTTTCCGTCATGAGATTCAACTTCTTGCCATGCACTGCACGAGGAGTCGAATGTGGAGTTGAGTTGAGATGCAGAGAGCGCTTTCCACACCTTTCCATGGTTTTGACATCTGGTTGCCCCAATTCTCATATCCACCCCTTTCCCCACTCCGCCATCACGGCATACATGAGGAGCGCAACACAGGGAGCGCAGCTTTGGCATCTGGTCACACACTCATCCCCAACCCCTTCCCCTCCCGTTCTCACCCCTCCCCTCATCTCCTCCCCCTTCGCCATCAGGACATTCACGAGGAGCTGAACTTCACAGCAGTGGAATCGAGACGCAGGGAGCGCAGCTTTGGCATCTGGTCGCTGCAATTCTCATCCGACGGTCGGGAGCTCATCGCGGGCAGCAGCGATCGCTCGCTCTATGTCTTTGACCTGGAGAGAAACCAGCCCATTCTTCGAGTGCGCACCTGGTGGGGTCATGCTTGCTGATTAGCTCGTCACGGGCAGCAGCGATTGCTCGCTACTAGTAGAGAGGGTGTTTTTGTTTTGAGTCGACTCAAGTTTTGAGTCGACTCAAAACACGACTCATTACACGCGGTGTTTTTGTGACGCCTCAAAAACACCCTCTCTACACGTGGCTGATCAGCTCATCGCGAGCAGCAGCGATTGCTGGCTCTACGTGTTTGATTTGGAGAGGAATCAGTTGATTCTCCGAGTGAAGGCACACCAGGTAGGCTAGGGGCTCACCTGGTAGGCTAGGGGCGCACCTGGTAGGCTAGGGGCGCACCTGGTAGGCTAGGGTCGCACCTGGTAGGCTAGGGGCGCACCTGGTAGGCTAGGGGCGCACCTGGTAGGCTAGGGGCGCACCTGGTGGGGTCATGCTTGCTGATCAGCTCGTCATGGGCAGCAGCGATTGCTCGCTCTACGTCTTCGATTGGGAGAGGAATCAGCCGATTCTCCGCGTGAAGGCACACCAGGTAGGCTAGGGAGACACCTTTTAGGCTAGGGAGACACCTTTAGGCTAGGGAGACACCTTTTAGGCTAGGGAGACACCTTTTAGGCTAGGGAGACACCTTTTAGGCTAGGGAGACACCTTTAGGCTAGGGAGACACCTTTTAGGCTAGGGAGACACCTTTTAGGCTAGGGAGACACCTTTTAGGCTAGGGAGACACCTTTTAGGCTAGGGAGACACCTTTTAGGCTAGGGAGACACCTTTTAGGCTCCTGGTTTCAGGTAAATCCAAGTGCCTGCCTCACTGCTTGAGGGTAGCAGCAGCGGTCGGTCGCTCTACGTCTTTGACCTGTGCACTGGTCCATCCTCCGTCCTCCCTTCTCCCTCCTCCTCCCCACTCCGCTTCTCCAGGACGATGTGAATGCTGTGGCTTTTGCAGACGAGACCTCCCAACTCATCTACTCGGGCAGTGACGATCGCATCTGTACGGTGTGGGACCGACGGTTGTTAGACAACACCGAGCCCATCGGGCCCCTGCGCTTGCTCGACCCCGTTGGGAGCCCGATGGACCACACACCTGACCGCACCTGACCGCATTGACTGCCTTTGACCTCAGTGGAACCCCTTCAATCCCCCGTCCCTTCTCACTTCAGGACGATGTGAACGCAGTGGCATTCGCGGACGAGACCTCGCAGCTCATCTACTCGGGCAGTGACGATCGCATCTGCAAGGTGTGGGACCGCCGCCTGCTTGACAACACCGAGCCCATCGGCCCGTTGCGACTGCTCGACCCTGTTGGACCTCCTCCCTTCAGTCACTCTGCTGGCGGTGCTGCTAGCGCTGCTAGTTCTGCTGCTGCTGGTGCTGCTGGTGCTGGCGCTGGTGCTGGTGCTGCTGGTGGTGCTAGTGGTGGTGGTGGCAGTGGTGGTGGGGGGGAGAGGCAGGGAGTGGGGTGTCGGAACAAGCCGGTGGGGGTGCTGGTGGGGCACACAGAGGGTATAACGCATCTGGCTTCTAAAGGGGACGCTAGATGCTTTCTTACCAACGGCAAGGATCAGACGATGAAGCTGTGGGACATCCGAGTCATGATGGACCATGCTGCTTATGAAGAGTGAGTTTATAACGAGTACGTGTTAGCATGTGTGTGTGTGAGTGTTCAACCAGTGTCACCAACGGCAAGGATCAGACGATGAAGCTGTGGGACATCCGAGTCAAGAGTGAGTTGATAATGTCTATATGTTTCTAACGAGTCTATATGTTAATAACTAGTACATGTGAGCATGCGTGTGAGAGAGCGATAAATCAGAGGCACCAACAGCAAGGACCAGACGATGAAGTTGTTGTGGGACATCCTCTAACTGTTTCTCATCGCCCTCTCTCTCTTTCTTTGTCTCCCTCTTTTGAACGGTCCTTTTCCTATCTCTGTCACTCTCTCTCCTTGTCTATGTCCCTGTCTCTGCCTACCTCCCTCCCCCTCCCCCTGCCAGTCTCCCCCCTCCGCGAATCCCCTTCTTCCAGTGGGACTATCGCTGGATGGACTACCCCGGGAGGGGAATGAGGGTCGCACACCCCAGCGACCAGTCACTCATGACTTACCGCAACCACCACGTGCTGCACACGCTCATCCGCTGCTCCCCTCCTTCTGTTTGTTTGTGTCTCTGCCTCTGCCTCTGTCTCTGTTCCTGTTTTCCGCCTCTCCCCCCTCCTCTCTCTCTCTGCAGTCTCCCCCCTCCGCGAATCCCCTTCTTCCAGTGGGACTATCGTTGGATGGACTACCCGGGCAGGGGCATGAGGGTCGCACACCCCAGCGACCAGTCACTCATGACGTACCGCAACCACCACGTGCTGCAGACGCTCATCCGCTGCTACTTTTCCCCTCTGCACTCCACGGCCCAGCGATTTGTCTACTCTGGGTCGCACGACGGTGCTGTGTATATCTTTGACCTGGTGAGTGCAACGCATCGGGGGTGTGTCTCACATTATCACACCTCTCTCACACGACGGCGCTGTGTATATCTTTGACCTGGTATGTGGTAGAGAGTGAGTGAATGGGTTATAGAGAGAGAGGTAGAAAATTGGTCTTCTGTTCCAAGGATAACAGTATGTACCTGCACGGTGGGGCCTTTTGAGTCGACTCAAAAGTCACCTAAGGATAACAGTATGTACCTGCACGGTGGGGCCGTCCACATATTTGACCTGGTATGTGGTAATGTCTACCCTTGCGGCGCCTATAAAATCAACTTATCACACACGATGGGGCTGTCTACATATTCGACCTGGTATGTGGTAGAGAGAGTGAGTGACATGCATTATGCGAGACATGAGAGAATGGGTGTCAGTCAGCTGCCATGGGGTTATGCGCTTCCCCTCCCCTCCGCCTACTGACAGGCAAGCAAGTGGCAAAGCTGAAGCACCACGGGTCGACTGTCCGGGACTGCTGCTGGCACCCCATTCGGCCAGCTCTTGATGTAACTCTTTGCACCTCTACCTCTTTGCACCCTTCCTCTCCTCCCTCCCTGCTGTATCTACAGTTGACAGGAAAGCAAGTGGCAAAGCTGAAGCACCACGGGTCGACTGTCCGGGACTGCTCCTGGCACCCCACACGGCCGGCTCTAGCGTCGGTGGGGTGGGACGGCAAGGTGGCTGTGTGGGAGAGCTTTCACGGGGAGACGCCGCCTGAATGCAAGAAGATGCGGCAGATTCCCGTGACTAATCATGAGGACTTATTTGACGAGTAGAGGGGAGATGGGGTCACTGGCGTTGGTGGCGTTTGACGGCAAAGTGGCTGTGTGGAAGAGCTTTCACGGGGAGACCCCTCCTGAATGCAAGAAGATGCGACAGATCCCCGTGACTAATCATGAGGATATATTTGACGAGTAGAGGGGGGTTGGAGAGAGGGGGTGCTGGCGGTGCAGTATTGCAGGAGAAGGGGGCATGAAGTGCGGCAGTGTAAGGGAGGGGGCGCTGGCGACGGTGCAGGGACAGGGGGCATGCGGCCAGCCCTGGCGTCGGTGGGGTGGGATGGCAAGGCGGCCCTCTGGGAGAGCTTTCACGGGGAGACTCCTCCTGAATGCAAGAAGATGCGGCAGATCCCCGTGACTAATCATGAGGATATATTTGATGACTAGAGGTAGCTTGGGAGGTGTGGGAGGGGGAGAGTGAGGAAGGGGGTTGTGGAGGGGTAGTACAGGGATATACCCCTCCCTTTGGTGTGTATTATAGCAAGGCATACTCCTCCCATTGCTCATGGGGATAGCTGTGGCAATAGAGGAGGTTGGGGAGGTGATGGGAGAGGAGAAGAGGAGGTGGTGGGGAAGGGGCATTGGTGCTGGTCGGTGCAGGTCTGGGTAGACTCATGCGGGTCTTACCCTATTGTGTAAGAAAGTCTCCCTTCCCGCTTTTCCCTCCCCTCCCTAGCCCCCTCCCTTTCCCAATTTCTCCCCCGTTTCCTGCCCCAGTACTATCCGCTTCCGGTCTTTCTCCCTTTCCTTCTTCCCCTTCCCCCATTCCCCCTCCTCCTTCCTCCATCTTCCCAAGCCCCTCTGCCTGTCTCTCTCCACCCGATACTGTCTTCCTGCTCTTCGATAAAGGATGCCAACGGTGATGGTGAGGTGAGGTGATGGTTCGATTGATGGTAGTGGCGTGCAGGAGCACTCATGTGTTTCTTAGGGTGCTTCCCTTGCCTGTCCCTCTGTGTCACGCTGTGAAATGTGCATATGACTGTTATGTTTTCCATGATCTCAACAAATATGGATGAACTGATCATGTGTACAAATTTGTTTACTAGCAATGTTGGGCCTTGATGGATAATACTGTAGAGAGTTCATGACCAGGAAGGGTGTAGTGATTTGAAACTGGCCTGCTTCCACTATGCACTATTCAAACAAACAATCAGAGCAAGCAGACACTCGATAATATACCAGCTACACCAAAGCATTCACAAACAAATCGACCTGCCTTACACCATATCAAAATACGAATGATTCAACTACATGATGAAACAAACAAAACTAGGGTGAGCCAACACAACTACAGTGTGAGCCAAGGCTCTTATTCCCCACTATGGGGCATGCAATGCATGTGCGCAGGCAAGGCAGGCTACTCTGCTGTGAATGCGGTGAAGGTGGGGAAGGTCAGAGATGGCAGTGAAGCTGGGCTGGCGAAGGGAGAGGTTGGAAGGAGTGTGCATGCATGCATGTTTGTGTTCGGGTGGGCGGCTTGACGGGTGGGCTGTTCTGCTGTGAGTCTGGCGAAGGCGGGAAGGTCAGAGATGGCAGTGAAGCTGGGCTGGTGAAGGGAAGGCTGGTTGAAAGGAGTGTGCATGCATGCATGTGTATGCCTGGGTGGGTGGGTGGATGGGTGGGCTACTCTGCTGTGAGTCTGGCGAAGGCGGGAAGGTCAGAGATGGTAGTGAAGCTGGGCTGGCACATATGGCGTTCCAGCTCTGCTCGTGTGGCTTGCATGACCACCTGAGTGAGGGGGAGGGGGTGGCGAGCAAAGGGGGGGGATGGGCGGAGAGAGTGAGAACAGAAGCTGGGCTGGCACATATGTCGCTCCAGCTCTGCTCGTGTGGCTTGCATGAACACCTGGGTGGCGATGAGTGAGAAAGGACAGTGGGGAGGGAATGGAAACAATGATTGGGAGACACTCAATCCAGTTGATTCGTATTCCAAATTGACTTGCATGACTCAAATTGATTTGCATGACTCACATTGACTTGCATGACTCAAATTGACTTGCATGACTCACATTGACTTGCATAACTCAAATTGACTTGCATGACTCATATTGACTTGCATGACTCATATTGACTTGCATGACTCACATTGACTTGCATGACTCACATTGACTTGCATGACTCACATTGACTTGCATGACTCACATTGACTTGCATGACTCACATTCAACTCCATGTACGACGCCTTGAGCTCCAGCCAGTTAGCGTCCAGCAACTCAAACGTGACACAGTAGAGATGAACACAAGGGCAGTGCATGTTCGTGTGCACGTGCATGTATATGTGGTTGACTCACATTAAAACAAAACTGTGGTTGACTTCCATTGACTCACATTGAAAACAAACTGTGGTTGACTTCCATTGACTCACATTGAATTCCATGTACGACGCCTTGAGCTCCAGCCAGTTAGCGTCCAGCATCTCAAACGTCACACAGTAGAGGTCCTCAAACGCTGTTGGGTGCTCTGGTAGCATCTTCAGGAAGGCCCGTCCAGCTACTGTTGCGGGGATGTCTGGAGAAACAATGAGAGAGGAGAGAATGTACAAGGGAAAGGGAAACAGAGATTGGGAGGAGAACGACCCGTTCAGCACCTGACGCCGACAGGTGCTCTGATAAACCGTTCAGAAAGGTCTGTTGCAGGGATACCTGAAAAGAGATTGGAAGGAGGAGCACATACAAGGGGAAGGGGAACAAAGATGGGAATCGCCCATCCAGCACATCAAACGTCACACAGAGGATATTCACAAATGTGAAGGATGTGAGGGATTGGAGGATGGGAGGGGTGCAAGGGAGGGATGAGATTGTCTGTCTTCTTGGACAGGGAGGGAGAACTGGCATTCTTTCCAGACTCGGACGCTCACCCTTGCGCAAGTCGAGAATGCTTATAAGGAGTACGGTGATGTTCACCCCTGCTGCTCCAAACGGGTACTCCCACTCAACCCGGCGACCCTCCTGCTTGTGCATGATGCGCTGAAACGACCTCTGCAGTCAGGCACAGTAAGGGCAAGCAGAAAACACGTGTAGAGAAAGTTTTTTTCTCAAGACATTTCAGAATCCTCCTGCTTGTGCATGACGCGCTGGAACCACCTCGGCAGCCACACACAGAAAGAACAAGGAAAACTACGTTTGTTTAAGAATTCTTTTCCGTAACTCCAAAACATCTTCTCACCCTACCCCTCCCTTCCCCTCCTCCCTTTTCCCCCTCCCTTCCCCCCCTCCCTTCCCCCACTCCCTTTCCCCGCTCCCTTCCCCCCCTCCCTTTCCCCGCTCCCTTCCCCTCCTCCCTCCCCCAACGCACCGGGTACGTGCGAGCATAGTACACCAAATTCTCCAGCGCGAAAAATCCCCCGCCCCTGAAATCCGAGGCCGGATTCTTCCCCTGCCACCCCATCTCCTTCCACCCCGCCACCTCCACCTCCTCAGTCAACACCCGCCCCGGATACGCCTGCTCCCACAGCTCTACCAGCGCCAATCTATGCTCCTCCTTGTCGTTTTCAAACGGCGGCTGTATCCTCGTTTGTAGCTGCTTCAGGGAGCGCTCCTGGGGTTCGGAGAGGGTGATGGGGAGGAGGGCGGGAACTCCCCCGCGCAGCTGCGGGGGGCCTCCGCGGGAGGGTGCGCGCGCGTGCGGGGGGAGCAGCAGCGTGGAGGCAAAAGAGCCGCCCAGAGCAAGAACTTTGGTGCGCGCACCCGCCATGAGCTGGCCTGGTGGCAGGGGAGGAGGGAGAGATGGAGGAAGAGTAGTGGGGTAAGGGAGTGAGTCAGGGGAAGAAGGGGGATAGAACGATCAATCTTATCTTGGGTACAACCTCCTTAGAAATAAACAACATTGCTTGTATCATTTCAAAACTCTTTGAAGCAGTAGAAAAGGGAAAAAGAGAATGATAATACTAGACCCACCTAGCCATGAGGCCCATTGAAAGACGAATGATCCGAGAAGGTGCTGCCACACTCTCGAGCCGACTTCCCCTGGCCTTGGAGATCCTGGCGACTGCACGGAATAATGAAAATGTCCGTGAGAGGAACGGATAAAAAAAGATATTTCTGTCCAAAGGACGAATCAACCAGAACGTCCTTCCAAAAGAACGGAGAGAATGGATAAAAGGACGTCCGTCACGACTAAGGGAATCACGAGCTGGACAGAAAGGCTGAGAACACGCGGGTGTAATCGCTAGCTGAGGCGGCCTAACGACGATGTAATGTAAGATGTTCATTTGTGGAGGAAGGTACAAAGGAGGTATAGACGACGGCTATTAGACGATGTCAAGAAAATGTTATGAAGTCCAAACTGATGATTATGCCGTATCCCATCTGCACAAAAACATGATAACATCAGCATGAATGTTAATGGTCCTACTGCTTATTTCTAATTTCACGTTCATGGCTCTATAAAGCATCAACGACTGACCCACCTTCGCGTCGGCATTTGGGCTGGCGACACCATTCGCGGGATTCGCACAGGTCGTAGACGTCGCAGGCGGATCGCGTCGGTCGTCATCGTCGTCGTGTCGGTCGTCGCATGACAGTAGCGGTTCTTGAAGGGTGGATCGCACTGCGTTGCCTTCGTTGCTGACTCGACGTCTAATCACGGCTGATTGAGGCATGACCGATACAATCTACAACCAAATTTAGATTCTAATGTACAGAGAGATTCGATCTATGATGGATTACCCTACCCTATTATTGTGAGCCGGCTTCCGTAACAGTATTATATCTGTCCTACCTCATGAAAGGCAGAATCGAGGCCGAAAATACGAGCAATCAGGAGGAGGTGAAGCGGACTCACTTTCGAGGAAGCCTACCACAACACAACAGATATTAAGTACAAGAACAGCGCGCCTGAGACGGCGACGTCGAGTGACGAAAGAGCAGATTTACCATTGGGAGACTTCAGTGACACATCAACCGAAAGCTAGAGGAGTCTGAAGTGAACGAACAAGGACAATGGAGCCACGCTAGCGCATTATAAGGCTAAGATAACGAGCGTTGAGCACTGATAATGGCTGCACAGACAGACACAACCAGCCTGCTGAAAATGAGCATTCAGGCTAGTCTAGAGCCCATAACGAGCATTCAGTTGTTGCCCTCCCTAGAGAACTCTCTGACAGAATGCTTCTGTCTGCTCCCTGACAGACTGGAATTGGAACAGAGATAACTCCGTCCGACGGCACCCTTTGGAGTGGTCAGTGGTGTCACTGCTAACTGAGAACGCCGATTCCGTCCGTGCCTTGTCATCCGCGTTTCCTCCGTCCAACACATCTATCCATCCATCCCTCTGCTTCCGTCTACTGGCGGTTGGGATGGAAACGGGAAACTGCGGCTCCGTCTGGAAGTGTGTCAGCCGACAGTATGAGTGAGCACGTAAGGGCAGGTCCAACTCATCACAGCTCAGGTCAATATTAGCCTCTGTAACCTTTTTCTGTAGGGTAACCGCGTCAAATCATGAGACTAGCCGGGATGACGCGCTCGGTTTTCCGCCATGCAAAACGAGTTTCGTGCCACAACACATTTCAAACTCGAAAATTTTCCGAAAATATTAGGGAACTGGTAAGCAAGAGCAAATCAAACTTTCTCACACACACATCCCAGTAACAGAGTGTATTCGTGATTGCGAACTGTATTAGTTTCGTCAGACGGTAACCTGTCTCGCAGCAGTTCCAGTTCCTAGAGTGTCTTCCCACAAAAACCCCTGACGAAGTCTGCCGATTGCACGCATGATTTTTTACCCATCAACTTCTGTTCATACGGGAGGGATGTTGTGTCTGTGTTGATGGTACACCAGTTCGTTTGAGCAGGTGCTGTGCCCGCCTGGGGTCAACATGACGCTGCACGTGTGTAGGTTCGAATTGGGTGTTTGTTATCCGGACAGTCAACATTTTGTTACAGGGGTGTTATTCCCCGAAACGAAACGAGTTGGACCCGCCCTAACCTCGCCTTGTGCTCCAACTCCCACGAATCGGTACACTTTCACGTTCAGCACATTAGGAATATGATGGCACAGATCACCTGTTTGAAGGAATTATTAATGCAGCCACTTTCATACTACTTCGTATATATCAAGCATGGTCAGCATAGCGTGACAAGGATGGACACAACAAGCTGGATGTGTCTACCCTTTGATAGATTTTGTTCTCATCCATCCCTTCGCACGCAGCGAAGGAGACTTGTGCGGGACTAGGGACTCCATTAGCTTCCTAACTCTATGATGCCTCGTTGTGTCATGAACGGCAGCAGGAGATGCCTCATCTTCAATCTGCAAAAGAAGAAAAACGCAGAACAAACACGTTAAGTTTAGATCCAAGGACAGCAAACAAGGCAAGCACATGACGATAATATGACACCATACCTTCACAGCTTTCTTTTGGAAGCAAGAGAAGTCCCTTCTTCTCAGGGCAGACCTAAGCATCTGCCGGGCTGCCCGCCCAAAACTCTCCTCCGCTTCCCGAGCCAAAGCCGACAGGGCCGGCTGCACCTCAGCCGCCAGATCCGGCCGAAGCTCTGCCTGTCCCGAAGCACAGCGCAGAGCCAGAAGCACCACCACAGATGCAATCTCCACCGGCCATTCCCCTGCTGTCACATCCAGTCGGCTCAAAAACACGTCTACAGCCTCAGCCAGGTTGAACCCGCAGGTAACACCTCCCCCAGAAACCCCTCCCCCGGCCACCCTGCCTGCTGCTTCCCCAGCTGAGTCTTCCCTGTGCCCATCCATCCCACCCCCACCACCTGCCCCTGAACCTCCTGCTGCAGTCGAGTGCGTGTGCATGAGGGAGTGGATAAGTGAGGGGCTGGTGATGCCGGTTACCAGCTGTAACACCACAATGCCGTATGCATGCAGGTCGTCACTTTGTACGCCCGTGCTGCTGGGGCCATGCTGGCCTGGACCCTCCGCTCCCACTGCTGTGCTGCTGCTGGGGTCAGAATCCGAGGCAGAGGCAGAAGCAGAGAGAGGGCTGCTCCCCAGGCTACCATAGAAGGGAGACGAGGAGAATGAGAGGCCAGCACCGCTGAGTTTACACGCGGAGTTTCGGTCCAGAAGCACGTTCTGTAGAGTCACGGCGCCGTGCAGCACGGGCGGCGAGTGCTGGTGCATGAAGAGCAGCGCTCCTGCCAGCTCAGAGGCCAGTCGCAGCCGGTCCACCCAGGACAGCCATATTGCCTCTAGCTCCTCCTCTTCCTCCTCTCTGAAGGTAATGCCCCGTTCTCCACTAGGAGAAGCAGCAGCACCGTCCCCTGCACCGCTGCTGCTGTTACCAACACCCTCCTCTGCTCCAGTAGCAGCACCACCAGCACCACCAGAACCACCACCACCATCACCAGCAGCAGCAGCAGTGGCAGCGGCAATAAGGGAGTGGATGCGGGAGAGGCGGGAGGAGAGGCTGCCCCCAGGAGCGAACTCATACACAAGGCAGGGGTACTCGGGGCAGTGGCCCATCAGCAGCAGCAGGTGCGGGTGCCTGAGCCGCCTTAACACGTCCACTGCTGCTTGCACTGCTGCTTGTACTCTCTCTCGGGACACTTGACCTCCCCCTTCTGTGGACGGATCAAGGAGACCGGATGAACCGAAGGAGCCAAACGCACCCGATGAGGCAACAGCGGCACCATCTGCTTCCACCACTCGCTCCTCTTCCTGCTTTCCCCCTCCCCCCTCTGCACCATCTACTGCAGTCTTTTCAGTCTTCTCATTCTTGTCTGTTCTTCCACACGTGTCCTCATGCACAGTCAGCAGTTTGATCGCCACCTGGCACCCAAATATCTCCCCCCGGTAGCTCGGCCCGAGCCTGCCTTGGCCAATCAGCTGCAAGGGCGAGAAGCCCCCCGTGGCTCGGAGAATCTGGTCCGGGGGGAAGCGGTGGCAGTCCGCCGAGTCTACCCGGCTGGTTTGGAATCCGGCTTGGGAGGAGGAGGACGAGAACGAGGAGGAAGGAAGCGGGATAGGGAAAGCTTGCTGCTCAGTGCTCCCCATTCCCGGATTACTGCTGCTGCTGCTGTTAGCAGGGCTAGCAGCACCACACGACCCACCATCTCTTGACCCTTCTCTTGCTGCCACCGCTGCAGCGTTCCCTACTGCTGCTGCAACCTCTGCTGCTACTGCCTCGACCCCACCCCCCATCTCACCCTCACTCCCCATGCTCCTCCTGCCAGACACCCACAGCTTCTTCCCCACCACCACAGGTTGCTGGGGTAAAGCTGGGGATCCCTCTCCCTTCAAGCTTTTCTCAGGGTGATTTCCCCTTTGCTCCAATCCACCCTTCAAAATCCCTCTTTCGCTCTCTCTTTCTGCCTTGCTTCCTCCTTCTCTCCCTCCCTTTCTCCCTCCCCCTATTGCTTGCTCGTGGGATACAGTCCTTGCTACCTTCATTCCTCCGGTCCCTCTACCCCCCACTGGGCCTGTGAGCAGGGTTACGTTCGGCGACGGCGAGCCTACCGAAGCTGCTCCTAAGCCTGCCGCCGAACCTCCTACAGAGGCTGAGGTTGGGGCGATACGAGGAACGATGAGTAGGCTCGTGTCGATTCCCTCAAACTCGTTTCCCTTCACATGGAAATCCTCGCTCCCCTGGTGCGAATGCCACCCGGTCCGCCCACCTGAAAACCCACCTGAGAAACCACCTGAGAAACCACCTGAACGTCCACCTGAGCTCTTGGCAGCTTGCATATCAGAGTGAATAGCAGACAACCCAGCTGCCACACTCTCTAACCCCTTCCACAGAGGAGACTTATCCCCATGCGATCTCCCCCCATGCGATCTCCCCCCATGCGATCTCCCCCCACCATACGTCTTCTCCCCCTGCCCCGTCCCCTTGCCATACCCCCCGTGCCCCCCCTGTCCCCCCTTGCTGCTGCTGCTGCTGGTGCTGGTAGTACCACTGACGGAGGAGGAAGAGGGGAAGAAGCCTCGGCCCCTGGTGGGGTGGGGAGGGGGGGTGCCCTGGGGAGTGATGGAGGCAGAAGAGGAAGAGCCGGAGTGCCTGCGCGTGTGGTGGCCTGTCCCCTGCTGCCGCTGCTCATCCTGCTTCTCCTGCTGATCCTGCTGCTGCTGCACCTGCTGCAGCCCCTGTCTCTGCTGCCCCTGTTCCTGCCTCTGCTGCCCCTGCTGCTGCTGCTGCCCGCCTGCCAGAGCAGGGTGCACGGGGGACGGCTTGTGCTGCTCGACCAGAATCTTCTGCAGCCCAGTGAACTGCTGCCGCATCTGCTGCTGCAGCCTCATCATGCGCTGCCGGTCTGCCTCTGACACTGGCCCACTGTTCGACCCTGCTGCTGCTCCTGCCGCCGCCGCTGCTGCTACAGCTACAGCTGTTCTGTCCCCTGCCGCCCCCGCCTCGTCCCCCATGCCCCCTCCTCTTCTTCCCACCCCTCCTCCTGCTGCTCTTCCTCCTGGGGTTAATGCTCCAGGGCTTGTTCCAGGGAGAGAAAAGCCTCTGGGGGAAGCCAGGGGGACGAGTGTGTTTGGGTTGTCTTGACTAGCCGCGCGGCTGAATCCTGTGTTACTGTTCATACTGCCACTGTTCCCAGCATACGGCCCAAAAGCACCTGAGGATTCACCTGGGGTTCGCCCGTCTCTGCTGGAGGCGCTAAGGCAGCCAGGGCTGGGGGTGGGTGTGCGGGACGGGTGGGGGGAGGTGCTATCTGGGACGATGATTCGCAACGGGCGGAATTTTCGCTGCCCGGCGGGCAGGTTCTGCTGCTGCTCGGGCAGGTGATGCGACTGCTGCTGCGACTGTTGCTGTGACTGCTGCTGCTGTTGCTGTTGTTTTTGCTGCTGCAGCAACTGAAGCTGCTTCAGCACCTGCTGCTGATGCTGCTCCTCATGCACTGTCGACGGTGTTGGCAGCAGCACCGCTGGCACCCCAGCACCAGCAGCAACACCCCCACCACCACCACCACGACCAGCACCAACACCACCAGCAGCACCAGCAGCACCAGCAGCACCAGCACCAAAGCCAACGCTACCAGCAGCAGGCACCCCGCCAGGGCTTCCCAAGGCGGCAGCAGCACTCCCGGCACGCACACGACCCGCCACCTCCGCTCTATCCCACAGAGACACGATCCTCTGCTGCCCGATGGCCACCCGCTGCAGCTCTGCCTCCCAGTCCGCTATAGTGAAGGAGGACTTGGGCCGACACACCGCGTCGTACCCATCGTCATCGTCGTCGTCGTCGTCCTCATCATCCTCATCCTCGTTATAGTCGTTCTCGTTATAGTCGTTGTCGTTGTCACTTCCAGCGTCGTTTTCTCCGCCGTCATTGTCGTAACAGTGTTCATCAGCAGGATAGCCAGCAGCAGCAGCGGCGGTGGCGGTGGCAGCAGGAGCATGAGCCGCAGAGGAGGAGGAAGAGCCAGAGGAGCCAGCTTTGCGTGAAGCAGGAGTGGCAGAAGAAGACGAGGAATGCGAGTCAGGGAAGCGAGGCGATGCCGACGCAACAGGGGCGGCAGGATTTGGACTGGAGGGGATGCCTTTGCGTGGTTTGGACTTGCGTGAGCGTTTGGAGGAGGAGGAGCCTGGTTGGCCCACCACTAGCATGCAGCCAGGGGGGAGGCGGCGGAGCAAGGGGTGTGTGGATTGAGTGAGAAGGCGGAAGACAAACCTGGGGTGGGGAGAAGGGGGAGGAGGGGTGGGAGAAGAGGGGGAGATGGGAGGAGTTTGATACTGATTGATTGCCGTGCCACGAGCCTGGTTGCCTTGCTGCATTCAGGGGGTAGACAAGGCACAACAACGCAACCAGCTCACCTCGTCGTCCCCTTCCACCCACCCACCCACTTCCCTTGCTGCTTCCACCCACCTCTTGTTCCCCACGTAGAGCCGTTCTGCTGCAGTGGCCCACACGGCCTGGCAGATCCCGCTTGATCCCCACCCACCCACCTCTTGTTCCCCACGTAGAGCCGTTCTGCTGCAGTGGCCCGCACGGCCTGACAGAGCGCCTCGTCCCGCCGCTGCCCCCAGTCCACGTGCACGCGCGCAGGCACGCGCGCCTGCCCGCACTGCGCCAGCAGCGGCTGCAGCAGCGCCTGCAGTACAGGGGACACCCCCTCGCTGCTGCCCCCGCTGCCCTTCTGCGGAAGGGCCGCGCCCACTGAGGAGAGACAGGGTAGGGCAGGCGGGAAGCAGAAGGGGAAAGAGGGGTTTCAGCAGGGAGTGCAGCAGCGCCTGCAGTACAGGGGACACCCCCTCGCTGCTGCCCCCACCGCTCTTCTGCTGGAGGGCCGCGCCCACTGAGATAGAGAGGGAGTGGGGCAGGGCGGAAGCAGAAGAAAGAAGAGGGGGTTTCAGCAGGGAGTGCAGCAGCGCTTGCAGTACAGGGGACACCCCCTCGCTGCCCCCACCGCTCTTCTGCTGGAGGGCCGCGCCCACTGAAAAGAAGGGGAAGGGGCGGGAGGGAAGCAGGATTTAAAAAGAAGAGGCCTTAGCAGAGAAGAAAAGAGGTGTCTCAGTAAGGCCTTGTCACGCCAGTGCTGCTGCCCCCTCGTTCGGCCTCCGCCACTGCCCCCATTCCACGTGCACGCGCACAGGCACCCGCGCGCGCCTGCCCACACTGCTCCAACAGCGGCTGCTCCAGCACGAGATAGGAAATGCAGGAGAACGCGGAGGCAGTGAAAAAAAGAAATATCACTTGACCTCGCCTAAGGCCCACCAAACCAAACACACACTGGACTACTACAGATACCTATACACAGGAGGGTTTAGGTCAACACTACTCACAAACGCTGAGCTATTATACGCCACGAAGCACAGCACAATCGCGTCCAACCCTATACTTCATGCCAGTCCGCCCCATTGTAACGAGTTTTGAGACGTCAGAAACGCATGTACACACGAGAGGTTAGGGCAGCAGTACTCACAAATGCCTAGCCCTTCTCCCGCCACGAAGCACAGCACAATTTCAATCCCCGGACTCGACTCCAACACCCCTTCGCGTCCTCCTGCTCCTGCTGCTCCTCTTCTTTCTTGATTCGGCTCCACCTCTCCTCCTCCTCCTCCTGCCGCTTCCCTATCCGCGTCACTACCACCGGGAACTCCGAGTCTTCTCTCAGCGGCTTCCTTCTCCAGCTGCTTCTGCCGGTCGTGTAACGCTAACGTTAACAGAGCACCGTTCAGTTCCATGTTCTTGACGGAATTCGCTTCCACCATCCAGAGCCTCGGCGGAGAGAGTCCGGTTCGGTCGGTAGCGGATGATGCCATGTTTTCGTGATAAAAAAAGCTAGCCTTTGAAACCCGTTAACTGACGGGGGCCAGCCCTTGAAACGCGTTTCTTTCAAGGCGCCAGGCCTTCAACACAAGTCTGAACTGCGCGACAACAGACGCGGCGTTGCTCGAGTTTGGCAACACTACCTTATTACATGCTCTTGTCCTAACGAAGTCTTGCTGGGTAAAAAGGCGCGAAGACTAAAAAAAACACTAAGGTAAAGATGTTAGATTGGTAGCTGGACGCTGGTCGGCGTCGGCGAAGTCGGAAAAGTTGAAATGCAGACGAGGTCAGACTACCCTAAGCTGCTCGCCGTGCAAAATGGCTAGACTACTACTTGAAAGCAAGGTTCTTAGGCTACTACTAGAAATAAAATGATGACGGAACTAACTCAGGCAGCTCAGCCCTAAGCTATCTAGCCTCGCAGGATGTCAAGTTCGAAATTTTGAACCGCGCCAACAATGGAGGGAAGCGAATGAACGTTGACCAGGGTCAGCGCGAAAGAGAACAATCAGTTACGCTACGGCAGCAAGCTGAGGGACCACGTAAGCAGCCACGAGTGGGACGTGTGAGGTACGGACAATGCAGCTTATGCTCGTCGTGTCGTGATCGTGATTCGTGGTGAACCACATGGAAGTGGCACAGACTACGTTCTTCTGGAAGCCATGAAAAATAGAAAAGAAACGCTTGTGTGTGTGGGGACCTCGGGACTGGCTGGACTTGCAGCATTGTGGAGGTACAGTGAGGTAAATTCGGAAACGGAGGGGCTGTGAAATGCGAACAGTACGGTTTTGAAAGCAAAAAGAGAGGGTAACTACGGTACATTACGGTGCTTTCAGCGACAAGGACCTCAGGACAGCATGGCTGTTACGATGTTAGCGTGACGGTTAGCTTCACAGCATCGTAACGGCGATGACGGAATGGACGGCATGGATGAACTCGTTGTCTCGAGCGTGATGTAACGAGCGTCTTCGACGTTCTCGAGATTGTGGTCCTGCGCTAGGCGAAGCCGCAATCAGTTGCAAAGATGCAGTTCGAGGAGAATTTTTTTACAGACGTAGGACGAAATTGAGCAACATTTCTGGATTTCACAATTTCTCGAGGCTACTAATAACGGATAGATCTGTCATTTTCGAGCCGCTTTTACCAGCCAAGCCAACCAACGAAAGGCGTTGATCCAACCAATGAAGCTGTTGCCTCCTCCACCGACTGAAATTGACGAACAAGATTCTCCGATCGGCACGTACCGAAGCCACGTCATTTTGCGCTGCGCGCGTGTGTGTGGTTCAAAGCAAGCTGATCCAACCGAACTGCCAGAATGCCTTATCCGTGCTGTGACCCCTTCAGGCGAATTGTGTGAACGTTCATTTTCACTGAACCTCACTCAGCCGTTGTGGAAGCTATTTCAATTGTTGTAGAACGCAAAGTTGTACTTTCTTTGTTGTTATGTCAATGAAACGACAGCCACCTTGACGGGATTGCTCATTAGCTATTTATCCCTGATTCATGGACGCCTTGAGGCTAGACTGTAATTGAGATCCGTAGGCGTCGTATGATAACGCTGGCGTGACGTTGAATCGGCTCAGCCAGCTTCACAAATCCGTGGAAACGGCGAATGACGGCCTGTGCTAGTGAAAGCACCATGACGGCAAAACTGTCCACTTTCTCAGACTGCTTGAGCCTGAGAAACACAGCACGGCCTTCTACATTCGCGAGTAGAAGCGAAAGTTTACGATTAGCGAAGAGTGGGGTAACCATCACTTGCAAGCCATCTGTAACCATCAGGACAGTGGTAACGGTAACGAGAGAAACACGACCTTCTGCCAGTAACAATGTATCAAGCCGTTTGACGCGGAGGGTGATCTCTTCTATAACCCCAGCATCATCGTCAGCAGCAGCGTACAACCCCGAAGGCTTCCGATGCTATGTCGGACAAAGAATAGCTGGCCGGAGAATCCTTAGAACCATCCTTCCAAGTCCGGGAGCTGCAATCGGCGGAGGGGTGGGACTCGTGGATGAGGCGGAAACGAGAGGGGAGGGGGAAGCGGGAGGCGGAGGATCGGGGGAAGCAGCATGCGGGGGATCCGGGGAAGGAACTGGAGCGGGGAAGGCAAGCGGAGAGGAGTCTGTGAATGGTGAGGAACGGAGAGCGGGGAATGGCGGAGATTTGCCAGCAGAGGCGCTGAGAGCTCGCGGGAGTTCCGCGAGCGCAAGCGAGGGAAGAGGGGGGAGAAGAGAAAGAAGGGATGCTGGTTCGGAGGGGACCCCGCGGAATGCGGAGGGCGAAATGGAGGCGAAACGCGAAGAGGGAGCGCTCGCGAGGTTCGCCAAGGGAGGTCGCGCGTTTGTTACCAGCAACTTTCTCCTCGTTGGTGAGTAGAAAGTCCTGGAAGGCAGCTGTACTCACGTTCCACCTGTCTAACATCGGCTTTGCTTTGGGGCTCGGACTATTCATATCCATTTCCCCTCCACCACCCTCCGGTCCTGCAGCCATCAGCACGGGAATCGCTCTGGCAGTGCTGCATCCTGCTCCCAAAGCCTTCGCCCAGTCCCAGATAGCTTTGCTATAGACCTTAGAAAAATCGTACCATTCCCCCCCTCCACCCTCCTCTCCTGCAGCCATCAGCACGGGAATCGCGCTGGCAGTGCTGAATCCTGCTCCGGGCATCTACGCCCAGTCAAAGATCGGCCTCGCCCGCTACTGCACGTTTGGCATCTTCTTTGTCTCCGGTGGGTACGGTGGGGTAGGTAGGGAAGAGAAGAGATTGATGATGGTAGAGTGAAGCTTAGACACTAAAGTTGGTAGGGTGGGGAAATGAAGAGGCGGAGGCGGATTTGTAGGTACTCCGGTGCCACGTCACCTCTCATGCCACGTCACATCCATGCCACATCACCTCCTGTGTCACATGCACTCACCAGGCATTGCGTTGGACCTGGAGGAGCTCCGCAGAGCAGCCAGCTCATGGCCCGCCTTCCTCTACGGCTCGGTGTGTCCCCCCTCTCTGAGCCGCCTATCAGCCGCCTATGGGCCTATCTCATGTTTTTTAGGCGCCTCAAAAAGGACCAGCCAGCTCGTGGCCCGCCTACCTCTACGGCTCGGTGTGTTTCCCATTGCGCCCTCTATTCAGTCACGTCCCAGCCGTCTTCTGTGCACTTCACCAGTAGCATCTCTCGCGCTAACCATTCATTGACTTGGCCATTACGTGGCTTGCAGTTTTTGTCGCGTTTTACACTCTGCTGGAATCCAGGCAATACACATGCCGGGATTGCATTGCAATCCCCCCCCCGCCTTCCCCCTCAACCTTTTCCTCTGGCCCCGTCCATTACCACCCCCCCCCCCCCCCCCCCCCTTCCATTTGCCTTTCCACACTCGCCTCGCCATGCTGCCTCCTCGCCGCCGCCTCCCCGCAACCTCTCAGCCCTCTCATGGCCTCTCCAGATACAAGTTTTGAGTAGACTCAAAACTCCTCTCCAGCTACGCATTTCCCATTTCTCTCCCTCTATCCCTTTCACTCCCCTCTCCTCCCTCCAGCTATCCACTCTCGCCATAACGCCCCTCATGGCTCTACTCATGCGGTCCTTGCTGCCCTGCCCCTACCTCCACGCACCCTTGTTCTCACCCTCTATTCCTCTTCTACCCCAACCGCCCTCCCATCCTCCCTCCAGCTATCCACTCTCGCCATAACGCCCCTCATGGCTCTGCTCGTGCTGCGCCTGCCGCTGCTGCCCCTGCTGCACTTGCCCCTTCACACACTCTCTATCCCTCATCCCTATCACTTCCCCCTCCTCACCCCGCCCTCCCTGCAGCTATCCACGCTCGCCATAACGCCCCTCATGGCCCTGCTCGTGCTGCGCCTGCCGCTGCTGCCACGGGAGCTACCCACAGGTGTGCAGTGCGGTTCCGCTTGGTAAGCATGCCTTCATTCGTTGGTTCCACCTTCGCCTTCCTCCCTGTTGGCTCGTCTGATGCATTTCTGCCACCAACATTTCTGCCACCAACATTTCTGCCACCAACATTTCTGCCACCAACATTTCTGCCACCAACATTTCTGCCACCAACATTTCTGCCACCAACATTTCTGCCACCAACATTTCTGCCACCAACATTTCTGCCACCAACATTTCTGCCACCAACATTTCTGCCACCAACATTTCTGCCACCAACATTTCTGCCACCAACATTTCTGCCACCAACATTTCTGCCACCAACATTTCTGCCACCAACATTTCTGCCACCAACATTTCTGCCACCAACATTTCTGCCACCAACATTTCTGCCACCAACATTTCTGCCACCAACATTTCTGCCACCAACATTTCTGCCACCAACATTTCTGCCACCAACATTTCTGCCACCAACATTTCTGCCACCAACATTTCTGCCACCAACATTTCTGCCACCAACATTTCTGCCACCAACATTTCTGCCACCAACATTTCTGCCACCAACATTTCTGCCACCAACATTTCTGCCACCAACATTTCTGCCACCAACATTTCTGCCACCAACATTTCTGCCACCAACATTTCTGCCACCAACATTTCTGCCACCAACATTTCTGCCACCAACATTTCTGCCACCAACATTTCTGCCACCAACATTTCTGCCACCAACATTTCTGCCACCAACATTTCTGCCACCAACATTTCTGCCACCAACATTTCTGCCACCAACATTTCTGCCACCAACATTTCTGCCACCAACATTTCTGCCACCAACATTTCTGCCACCAACATTTCTGCCACCAACATTTCTGCCACCAACATTTCTGCCACCAACATTTCTGCCACCAACATTTCTGCCACCAACATTTCTGCCACCAACATTTCTGCCACCAACATTTCTGCCACCAACATTTCTGCCACCAACATTTCTGCCACCAACATTTCTGCCACCAACATTTCTGCCACCAACATTTCTGCCACCAACATTTCTGCCACCAACATTTCTGCCACCAACATTTCTGCCACCAACATTTCTGCCACCAACATTTCTGCCACCAACATTTCTGCCACCAACATTTCTGCCACCAACATTTCTGCCACCAACATTTCTGCCACCAACATTTCTGCCACCAACATTTCTGCCACCAACATTTCTGCCACCAACATTTCTGCCACCAACATTTCTGCCACCAACATTTCTGCCACCAACATTTCTGCCACCAACATTTCTGCCACCAACATTTCTGCCACCAACATTTCTGCCACCAACATTTCTGCCACCAACATTTCTGCCACCAACATTTCTGCCACCAACATTTCTGCCACCAACATTTCTGCCACCAACATTTCTGCCACCAACATTTCTGCCACCAACATTTCTGCCACCAACATTTCTGCCACCAACATTTCTGCCACCAACATTTCTGCCACCAATATTTCTGCCACCAACATTTCTGCCACCAACATTTCTGCCAACATTTCTGCCACCAACATTTCTGCCACCAACATTTCTGCCACCAACATTTCTGCCACCAACATTTCTGCCACCAACATTTCTGCCACCAACATTTCTGCCACCAACATTTCTGCATGGATAGAGACCCCCGCCCCCACCTTACGCCCCCAACTTACGCTGACACCCCCCCTCTCCCCCCCACCCCCACCTTTTCTAGATCCACACCCCCGCCCCGCCCCCCGCCTTACGCTCTCCCTCTGTGCTCTTCGCTCCCCATCCAGCTTCTTGTTTCTGCTGCATGCCTGCAACCAACCAACCTTGCCCCCTCCTCCCTTCCCTGCCTTGCGATCTCCCTGTTAGCTTGTTGCTCCCCAATCACCGAGCTGACTTTTGAGTCGACTCAAAAGTCAGCTCAGTATAATGTGGGGTTCCATTGCTCTCCCTGTTAGCTTGTTGCTCCCCAATCACCTCGCATCGCCACATCACCACAGGTCTCGCGCTCTCTTCTGCTGCATGCCTGCCACCATCACACAGCATGCACCCTCATTGCCCTATCTCCCTGTTTGCCTCTAATTCACTCCCCAACCCCTCCACATCCCTCTGCACCTCCGCGCCTCACACCACAGGTCCCGCGCTCTTCTGCTGCATGCCGGCCAGCATCACAGCAGGCATCCCTTCCTTCCCATCCCCAACTTACGCTCTCCTACTTTGCTCTCCCCTTTTTTACCGTCACTCCTCTCCTCATCCCCACAGGTCTCGCGCTCTTCTGCTGCATGCCTGCCACCATCACCGCAGGCATCTCTCTTGCACGGGTAGGCACAGCATGAGAATCAGGATGGTTTCATTCATGATGGTTTCATTCATGATGGTTTCATTCATGATGGTTTCATTCATGATGGTTTCATTCATGATGGTTTCATTCATGATGGTTTCATTCATGATTACAGTCGAATCGACTGGACAATGGCCTTCTCGTTGGCAGAGGCGCCGTCTTCTGAGTTGACTGGCATGCTGCATGCCTCGTGTATGAACAAGTGTTTTGAGACGTCTCAAAACACTTCTCGTTAACATAGGCGTCTCGTTAAGTGTTTTGACTCTGGGTCGTCTCTTCTGCTGTATGCCTGCCTGCCGTCATCACCGCAGGAATCACTCTTGCACGGGTAGGCAGGGCAGCTCGGCCTTCACGTGTTAAAGTCATAGCCCCCCTCTCCCAATGTCTGTCTCCTCCGGGTGTTTTCGAGAATCCTCAGAAACACCCTGGCCCCCTCTTTATCCGTCCCTCCCTCCCTCCCTCGCCCCCTCTCTCCCTCCCTCCGTCCGTCCCTCCCTCTCGTCCTCCCTTCCAAGAATCAGCTCTCTGGTTAGATGGACGAAAACCCACTTCCTTCCCTCTCACTCTTGCCTGTCTCTCGCCCTGCTATTTTTCTCTCCATTTTCCCCTATTTGCCCGGCCTTACTCCCACCAGGCAGCACATGCCAACACAGCATTGGCTCTCGGCCTAACTGTCGTCACCAACACTATTGGCATACTCACTGTAAGCTCTCCCACTATAAGCCCCACCGTTTGACACCTTCATGTTACTCGCAGCCAGCCATATAATTCACCTGATTCCCCCAACCTTCCACAGATGTCATTTCCTGGCTACAACACCCTATTCCTAACCCTTTCCACTCAATACCAGCACCATCTCAGGGCCAACATGGCCGATGCACCATCTCAGGGCCAGCATGGCCGATGCACCATCTCAGGGCCAGCATGGCCGATGCACCATCTCAGGGCCAGCATGGCTGATGCACCATCTCAGGGCCAGGATGGCCGATGCACCATCCCCTTCCCCCTCAACTCCCCATCTTCAACACCCCAATCCCCTCCCCTCTCCCTCCCCCTCCCCTTTTCCTCAAGCCCCCAACTGCAACACCCCAACGCCCTTCCTGCTCCCTCCCCCTTCCCCTTCCCCGCGCTTTCCCGTCCTGCTCGTTCCAGCCAGTGGGAGCGTGTCAGTATCAGCAGGGCCGTGGTCACTCGGACATGTGCCGTGCCCTACATACGACACTCCAGCCCACTCTTCCCCTTCTCTCTCCACTTTCTCTCCCTCTTCCCCCCCCTTTTCCCCTCCCTCCGGTCTCTTTCTCAGATGCCTCTACTCCTATCAAGGCTCGTTCCAGCAAGTGGGGGCGTGTCAGTACCAGCAGGGCCACTGTTACGCGGGCTGGTTACCACTCTCCTCGTTCCTCTCTTCATTGGCATGGTATGACGTGGTGTGGTGTGGTGGGGTGTGGTGCGGTGTGGCGTGGTGTGGTATAGTACGGTGTGATTTGCGGCATCACATTAGTAGAATTTGTATAGTCAAATTAAACGCCCTGCTTTTGGGCGCTGTTTAGGTGCCTTTTCTGTTCCCACTCGTATGATCACTACATCTCATCCCCTTCGCTTATCATCCCACAATTCTGAGGCCATCGGTCGCTGCAAAAATGAAAAAATGGGCAGCTCGTGGAATCTCAGAAGAAAAGAGAGAGAGCAAAAAAACATCTTTCTACTTCTTCCTTTCCTCAATGCATTCCCCTCCACCTGTCCTTTTCAACGTGGTTATTCTCTCACAACGGGGCCATCGTCAATCCCTCGCATATCCGAATGGGCTTGTAACTCAGGCAGTGCGACGAAGCATTCCAGGTGCTTACCACAACCACTCAACTGTTCTGCATCCCCAGCCTCTGCTAGCCTGCCTGCCTGCATTGAGAAACCTCAGTGAATTAGCCGTGGAAAGATGGTGCCATTTCACTTTGTTTGGATATCATTCTCCGTCCCTTCATGAGGAAGCATGAAATCCTTCTTACTCACTCTCCTTTCTCCCTTGTCTCCCATTCCTCCTCATGATCCAATCAGCTGTTGCCACGTGGGCTGATCAGCGCAAGCAGCAGCTCTCGATGGCCAACAACGCCATGCTCTCATTCGTGCGTTCCTCTTACCCCTCATTTGCGTCATTCATGTGGGTTTCTACCCCGCCCCCCACTTCCTTTTCCATACGTGCTTCCGCCCCCTAGATTGAACTTCTTTCTTTTTCCATCCCTTAAACCGTCAGACATCTCTTGTTCTTGCAGCTTTCACCCTCCCAACTCACCGATTTTTTTCTGAACCATACACGCACCACAAAACTCATGTGTGTATTGAGGTGAGTTTTGATGCGCCTTAAAACTAAACTCATGCGTGTGTGTGTGTCTCGTGGTCCTCTCCAGGTACCCTGGATGCAAGTCAGTTCCGCCCGGGCGGCGATTCTTCGTCTCGACATGACACAACTGCTACCCATTGCCGCCGCTGGCATGTATGTCCATGCCACATCATAGTTTGCCATGGTCTGTGTGTATCAATCAACAGTCTGGGCACATCCCACATCCCACATGTTACCCATGCAACATGCATGCAACTGCTGCACATTGCTGCTGCTGTTGCTGGCACTGGCATGTACGTCCACTCCACAACGTTTGCCTTTGGTTGTTCTAATTGTCCCTCGAACGAATCACCCCTCCTTTTCCATTTCAAGAGGCTAATATTGTGGACGAATCTGTGAGGTTTGAGATAACTCCTTCCTCTCGCCTCTCAATCCCTCCCGACCCTAACCAACCCCTCCCGATCCCTCCGATTCTTCCCAATCCCTACCAATCCCACTCTGACTTTCAATCAGAGCCGTCCATCTGTCCTTCCTGGCGCTCAACATGGGAGTGATGGCGGCTCTGAGGCGAATCACCCCTCCCCTTCCCCTTCAAGAGTCCATTATTGTGGACGGAAGTGTCAACCAACTACTCTGAGTGAACTGAGATCGTTTTTTCCTACCGATCCCTCCTCATCCTTCCCAATCCCTCTAAATTCCACCCAATCCCTCCCCTGAATTCAAATCAGAGCCGTCCATCTGTCCTTCCTGGCTTTAAACATGGGAGTGATGGCGGCTCTGAGGCGAATCACCCCTCCCCTTCCCCTTCAAGAGGCCAACGCTGTCGATAGAGCCGTCATTATCCTCTCCAGTCAGGTAACACTACATTAATAACATAAGCATATCAACTATTCCCGTATCCTGGTGAGTACTACCTTCGTGTCACCTATTCCAATGGATGTCCTGTGTCACGGACTGGATTCTATCCAATTTTTCAAATTATATTTTCAAGTAGCTCTGTTTGTGACACTCTGCAAACTCCCGTACCCTTGTAATGTTCGTCACCCTGTGGCAGAAAACCCTTCCAGTGGCTGCAACAGTGGTGGAGAAGATTGGAACACTTATGGGCGAGCCAGCATTGGTCCTTCTGCCATGCATCCTCACCCATTTTCTCCAGGTCAGCTAAATGCTTTACCTTTCGGTTTTTTGTGTGAAGCTATGCTTCTATTGTGTGTGCGGATGTATCTTATTGTTTTGGGCTTGTCTGTTCATGGCGGACACTCTGGTTTGGTGCGTTGTATAACATAGAAAGTTTGTGCTTTTGTTGCGATTGCAGATATTTATCGACTCGCTACTTGTCAACAAATGGTTAAATGATGATAGGGAGCGTGACACTGCCAATCGGGCTAAGAAAATTGTGTAAAACTGTCACGCTAGATTCCTCGGAATGTCCATCAATTGTTTCTGCTGTGCCTGCAAGTGCTCGTCACAATTTCATCAATAAAGGGGGGTTAATCCAAAATCGTTTTTTTGAGGTGTAGTCTGCACAGACAGCAGCTAATAGCGAGAATGATGCTTCCCATCATGAGTTATCACCACCGTGCTGACTTGGAGTGGCTTGTGGTACTGGATTGGATGGACAGCTGGCAAGGGCAGTCAGCCAGAAGGCCACGTAATAAGGCAGAACGAATTGTGAAGGTTTGTGTTGCGTGCGGTGACACACGCCAACGCGGATCTCTGATTCTCTCTTGGTACAGTGCTGTACAGTACGGTGTAGGCACCTTGGTCCCCGGCGAGGGCAACAGTGTGGGAAAACAGAGGGCATTCCACCGACAAGCGCGACACGCTAGCCCCTTAAGGCTCGGCAGATCTTCGAGCCTTTTGATAGGGGGCCTAACCAGAGGACATGGTTGCGCCGCTCTGCGAGCAGTAGTTCTTAGGCTAGGAAAAACGGAACCATCCAGCCTGGCAAGGCTCGGGTGGATGCGACGCGCAATGTGGAGGGGGCATGTCACCCATGTTTGCGAAGGGCAGCCTTCCGCGGGAAGCTGGCGTGCAAGCCAAGGCTGAAGCCACGCGATTCTTCTTCTTGACCACGCGCCCTCTTCCCAAGCAAGCGCAGAGTTGTTTCGCTCCGCGCCGCGCCTTTCCTCCCTCCCTGACCTGGCGCTTCAGCATTTGCTGCACTCTTCCCCTTCTCGCCCCCCTCCCCTCCCCAGCCAGCGCCAAGCCATGGAGCCCCCATGGTCCGGTAAGCTCAGCGGAGGGCTAGGGTGCGCACTGCGCACTCGGAGTCCGAGCCTTTCGTTCACCGCCGAACCACCCCCATTCCCCCTTCCCCCCCCCCCCCCAAGAAAGTCCAATGTGCAAATCTCTTACCCCGCGTTGTATAAAAGCAGGCGCCCTCGGCATTGCAATCCGTCATCCATTACAGGGGCCGATTTCCAAATTCACCTCCTCACCCTCTCCAATTTCCTCTTTTCCGAATTCGCGCTGAGTTCTTCTGCGTGGCATTCTTCACTTCCTGGATTCCTGTCGAGGATATTCTGTCAAGATGTCGCCCCGCGTGCTTCTTCTGGCGGTGCTCATTGTGTCCGCCGCGCTTGTTTCGCGCCCTGCGCTGGCGCATCGGCGTAGCTTCGGCGTCCTGACCCAGAACCCGCATCGCGAGGAGATGCGGCTTTTGACGGACGACAGCAGCTACAGCTCGTCGCACGACGACAGCAGCAGCGACAGCTCGTCGCACGACGACAGCAGCAGCGACAGCTCGTCGCACGACGACAGCAACAACGACAATTCGCATGACGGCAGTTCGGACGACTACCACGACGACAGTCATGACAGCAGTGACTCGTCGTCGTCGGATGACCACAGCAGCAGCGACGACAGCAGCAGCGACGACAACCACGACGACAGCAGCAGCGACGACAACCACGACGACAGCAGCAGCGACGACAACCACGACGATAGCAGCAGCGACAGCAGCCACGACGACAGCAGCAGCGACGACAGCCACGACGACAGCAGCAGCGACAGCAGCCACGACGACAGCAGCAGCGACAGCAGCCACGAAGACAACCACTACAGCAGCAGCAGTGACGGCTCGAGCAGCGGCGGCGGCCTGTCGTACAACTACTACGCGTCCACGTGCCCCAAGGCGGCGGAGATTGTCGCGGCGCGCGTGTACCAGGCGTACAAGAACGACCCCGCCGTCCCCGCGCCGCTGCTGCGTCTGCACTTCCACGACTGCTTCGTCCAGGTGCGTGCCGTCGGGGCTGTGAATGTGTGACATTTTCATGCCGAACGCGCGTATGGTTGTTTATAAGTGCGCTTCGCGAGGTGGAGGCAGGGAATGCCGCATTGCGACATGGCCGCAACGCACATGAACCATGTGAAATACATTTATACTTGTCGCTGTGAGGGTAACCCAAATTCACGAAACTCTCTTTCTGCCTTTTTTTCTCCAGGGAATGCGACGCGTCTGTGCTGCTCGACTCGACGGAGGACAAGTAGGCGGAGAAGGATTCGGATCCCAACGCCACTCTCGCTAATGTTTCCGTTTGTACTCGTGCCCTTCCGTTTTATTTTCTGTTCACTTGTTCAGGGTTGCGACGCGTCCGTGCTGCTCGACTCGACGGAAGACAACAAGGCGGAGAAGGATTCGGATCCCAACGCCACTCTCGGCGCGTTCGACGTGGTCGACGACATCAAGGACCATCTTGAGGCGGAATGCCCCGGCGTCGTGTCTTGCGCCGACATTCTCGCTCTCGCCGCTCGCGAGGGCATTCACCTGGTACGTCCTCGCACACTCTTTACTGTAAAAGCTTTTCAATTTTCTTTTCCTTTTCTTTCCCCCTCATCCTCCGCACCGCCCTGCACATCCACCCCTCCCCTTCGTCCCATCCCCTCCCCTCCCCCCCCTCCCCTCCTTCCCCCCCCCCCCCCCCCACACACCTTTTATGATCTCACTCATTTTATCCACCATGTCGTCGTATATTTTCTATTCCGCATTTTCGCTTATCGCAGGCCGGCGGTCCCTTCACGGAGGTGCCTCTGGGCCGTCGCGACGGGCTGACGTCATTCGCGCTCGCGGCGGAGACGTTCCTCCCGGGCTCCACGCTCAACGTCTCTGGCCTCGTCCATAACTTCAACACCGTCGGCCTCGATATGACCGACGTTGTGACTCTTAGCGGAGCTCACACTATCGGGGAGGGCCGCTGCGTGAGCCTGAAGAATCGCCTGGAGCAGGACGACCCCACGATGGACCCCGAATTCGCGGCGTACGTGAAGCAGAAGTGCGGCACGAGCAACATCGACCCCAAGGCCATGATTGAGAATGACTATGCTTCGCCAAACAAGTTTGACAACCAGGTAAGCAACGCGATTCTTCTGACTTCTCATCTCAACTCTCGGCTCTCCACTTCACCCATCCCATACTTCCACCCACTCCATCCCATTTCCTTCTATCCTTCTCCCCTTCTCACCTCCTCTTTAGCATCAAACCAACCTTGTCACACACCCTTTCTTAGCCCCTTCAATACAACATCGCACGATTTTCGTTCGCTTCTACGTCTCTCCGCCTCCGCAGTACTACAAGAACCTCCTCGCGCACAAGGGCCTGTTCACGACCGACCAGGCTCTCATTTACGACGACAAGACGGAGAAGGCAGTGAAGGCCTTCGCGCACGCCAAGAGCGTGTGGTTCGACGCGTTCCCCAAGTCGCTCGTGAAGATGGGTGTCATTTCGCCGCTCACCGGCACGCAGGGCGAGGTGCGCCTCAACTGCCATGTGCGCAACACCTACTAGTGGCGCGCAGCGGAGGTATCAGCGCGCAGCTTGTGGCGCATAAAGAAGGGAGCATTCTTGGAAGAATGGAGGGGTCTAGCAGGAGATTCTTGAGCTGCTGAAAATAAGGATCTTGATGGTCGTGGTTGATTCGATTTCGTAGTGGGATGCTAGAGCCTGGACTGGGGGGTGCGTTTGGGAATGCTCTATTGCTCTGAGATGGAAATAAGGTCACGGTTCTGGGCGAAGCTTGGTCATTACACAAGTTGCAAGAAATCTTGGAGCATGACAGCCAATCAGACGTGTTCATTGCTACCAAAGTGTCCACACTTCAGATGGTATCCAGACATCAGAACCGTGATCTAAAAGGTGGCTGCAATGTACGCTTTCTTTGGAGTGCATGTCGTTGACCACCTGCTTTTATGGTTGCTGCCGGTCAAACACACAGACGATGGTTTGATCCAGCAGGAATGTGCATCAAGGAGCAGAATTTGCCGTTGAGTTGAGAGACCCGTTGATTTCCACCAAATTGAATTTCCATCGATTTGGCGAGCCGCCGCGACCATCGAACTGAATTTGAAACGACTCGCTATTGCGTGATGGAGCCCGGAAGCAAATACTAGATGTCACTCCAGCACATCCCACTAGATGGATGCCTTAAAGCTCGCGTCTCTAATTTCCAACCGTTTAACACTTGGTTGGGTTTGCCAGGGTTTGATTGGGTAACGAAAGTCGAAATATTTGACGAGTGGGCGAAAAAAACACAGCGAACTCCAAAAGATCGAGGCCAAAACAAACCAGGGTGGGTTGGTTTGGGGGGAAACCGAGGCAAGGGTGACAGGTTTGGTCCTGGGTTCTGTCAACGTTCAGTTCAGAGTCTCATATGTTTGGGAGTTGTAAACACTTGGTGTGCACGGGGAAGTGTGCGACAGCCAACTTTCCCAACCACCCCTTGCTTTGGTGTGCTTCGCGACAAACTCTGCTGTTACCGGATTCCAACCGTTTAACACTTGGTTGGATGGCAGAAATATGAGACGCGAGCTTTAAGGGTGCATTCCTGTGGAGACACTTGTGTCTGGACCCCCGTTTTCCCGAGTCGCGCCTGTACATTTGCCAAATGTTGTGTCACAAACAACCAATGTATCGCGACTGTGAGCGACAGTTGGGCACGGCCAGGTGGTCGCTTTCTATTGGTTGCGATGTACAGGTTCGGGCCCTCAGCGTTTTCCCACCGGGCATCTTGGCTAAACACATCATTCAGCAGCGCAGATCGCGAGTAGAGGAACTTGCAATTTGGTCGAGTCGGGAGGTTTGCACCAACCCACACACACAAAAAGGCATGTACTCAACTACTCTAGCAAGTACAAAAACACACGCATCAAAGACCCCAATCCACCACTCCTTCTAGCAACCATGGCACAGCCTCGCGAGGTGCCATTCCTCATGCGACCTCTGGTCGCACAGGTGACGTTCTACTACAGCATCTTCCTCGACGCCGTCGCCAATTCGGTCGCAGGTTTGTTGGAGGCGAACATCTTCACGGAAGATGAGTCCTCGGCCTCTAGCTCACACGGCTCCAACCGAACAGCCGAGCGGAATACGGTAGAAGGTCAGGGCTTCGCCGGAGGAGGTACCACGTGCTGCTAGAGGACCTGGAAGGCATGGGGGAGGACGAGTTCAGAAACTTGTTCCGCATTAACCGCGCCATCCTAGATTACATTGTAGTCGGGATGGCGATCTACATGCAGCCGTACGTGGACAGATATCTCATCAGCCACGAAGTGGCATGCCTGGTCGCTATCAAATACCTGGCCACCGGCATGTCGTTCGTGGACTTGTCTTCCGTCTTCGGCCTCTCCAAGACCCTGTGCCACATGCTTGTTGACGCTCTGCTCATGCACTTCCCCTCCGTCTTCAAGCAGCAGTGGGTCCACTTCCCGACCCGTGACGACCTCGACGAGATGGCGGAGGAGTTCCGCGCCATCAAAGGAGTTCCTGCTGTAGTGGGGGCTATAGACGGCACACACGTGCACATGAAGGGGATGGAGGGGCACAGGCAGGAGTACTACACGCGCAAGTCATGCTACGCCGTCCAGCTGCAGCTCACATGCGACGCCCGCGGAATCATTTGGGACTATTTGATCGGATACCCGGGCAGTGCACACGATCAGAGGGTGTTCATGAACAGCGCGTTACACGAAAGGTTGCACAAGGACGACATAGCGCCATACCAAATAGTGGGAGATGCAGCCTACCCACTCAAGGATTTCTGTCTGACCCCCCTACATGCATCCCGTCAAGGCCTAATGTATGATTGGGAGCAGTGCTTTAACTACTGCCAAAGCGCAACGCGCATGGCAGTAGAGCGCTGCATCGGCGCCTTCAAAGGCCGGTGGCTTTTTTCGCGAGCCGCAATGATTGCAAGCTCTGACGCATTCTTGCAGGGGCGTCTTGTGGCGTCATCCTGCACAATATGTGTGAGACAATGGGGGCCGTTAGGCGCGTCAATGCTTCGTGGGCAAACTTGCCCCGAAACCGGGACCCGTGGTGGACGCGTGGCGCAGTCGCTGATTTCAAGTGGGAGCCATGCAACCCGAACACGCAGGCGAATCTGCGAGAAGAGCGCAAGCGGCTGGGCGAGGCTCTGGAGTCGTCGTACCTCACTCGGCGGCGCCGCGAACCCACACCTCCTCGCCCGCATCCGGGTTAGAGGCGTTGTCGCTCGCCTGCCCGCAACGGAGCCAGCGGGCATGTTGTCCGCGTGCCTGGGGAAGCCGTCGCGGGCAGGCGGGTATGGGGCCTGCTGCTGCACGTGTTCGCGGGCAATCCGTGCGTCCTGCTCCATCCATGTGCGGACGAGGCCTTCGAGCCTGTTCATCGCGTCAGAGTGGCAACCCTTGATTGTCTCACACACCAGCTTGGCGGCGGCCATCGTTGCCGTCTCTGCCACCCGTGGGCGCTTGGAGGTGGGCGTACCCTGCGGAGGTGGAGCTGCACATGCGAGATGCATTGTAAACATTAGAAGCTGTGTGGTGCGAACAATCGTGTTAACGGAAAGACACATGAGTAACACAATATATCCGATATGCACAACCACAAACAAAACACCCGTCGAAACAACGCAATCTCACCCGTGAAAGTCGGGGTCGAGGTGCAAGGTGCAGATGTGGACGGGACCGCGAACCCGCACGGCACGTTGACGTGTGCCGCGCCACCACCGTCGACGGCGTGCGGGTTGCCGACCGCCTCGTTGTTCTGGTAGAGCTCCATGTACGGGTACCACGGGGGCTTGCACACCGCCCCCTTGCCGCTCGCCCGCTCCCCCTTACTAATCTGCTTGTACATGTTGACGAGGTTGCGCCACTGCTTCTGCAGCGCATTCACGCCGCGCACCCACCCGGGATTCTCCTGCTCGAGATGGCGCGCGAGGCAGGCCTAGTACTGGGATCCCTGCTTCGCGAGGAGTTTCCCGAGCTTGTCCTTCATGAACCAACGTGCCGCCACGAAGATCGTGCTCTCGCGGTGGGACCACACGCTCCGCTTGACAGGGTGCAGGTTGCGGTTCTTGGCAGCGGCACGCGGAGGTTCCCCGCCCTTCGCGGCAGTATTGGTTCCGGCCGCGGCAGTAGCATGGGAGCGACGGGGAGACGGGGTAGCAGGCTGGGCCTCGTCGGGCGCGTCCTCGTCGTCGTCGGCGTCCTCATCGGCGTCGTCTTCATCTCCGGAGGGGGACATGCCCTTGTCCTCCTCTTCGCCAGAGTCCGCATCGTCGTCGCAGTCGTTGTACTCGGAGTCCTCGGCATCGTCATCGAATGCGTCGTCGTCAACGACGCGGGATGATGCAACCCGGTCGGCATCACGGCGCCCACGGGTAGGGACATCGCGCGGGGCTTTGAACAAGGTGTCCCCCGCACCCGGCGCACCACCGGGCAAAGGGCCGGCGGGCTTACGGCCGGCAGCAATCTGCTTGTTCATCCAACCGATGTACGGGATCTCGTTGAGATCCCGCGGGCACAGCTCGGCACTACTAGCTACGCTCTTGCGCTTACGGGCCATGGCTACGGCGTGGAAGAAAATGCAAGAAACACGAAGTAGAGAGCTGGGGTTTGGAGTACAGGAATAGAATGGAACAGGAGGGAGCTGTCACCCTGGTTGGAACGGATTGCGCAGCAGGGCAGGGACGTGACCGTGTGGTTACATCCACCACTCAGCTGTCAGCCCGGGCAGAGCGGTTTCCTTTCCCGCCCGAAATTTGCCCATTTCGGGCGTTCAGGTGCATGCTGTACAGTGTGACATTTCGACACGCGTGCGATTTTTAGGAGGTGACGGGGCCTCGTGTAACTCGTCCGCGACACCCGCGCAATTCACGCCAACTAATGTAAAATACAGTGAGGATCGCATTACTGTGGTCCGCATTTGTGACACAGTACGTTATATGCATACTTTGCGAGTCACAGTGTTTCAGACACAAGTGTCTCCACAGGAATGTACCCTAAGTGCTGCTGCTGACATAGTATTCTGGTCCTATCCCATCTCAGGCTACCTGGCAGTGGGTGCATTTGGCGTGTTAATAGGACAGCTGCTGATGCGAGAACATAACATATGTTCAAAGATAAGGTGAGGCCCCAAACAAATTCATTACCATAGAAACTTTCTCCAGACTCGGATGCAACTCAAAGTGCAGGCTCATGGAAAAAGAAGTAACAAAAACAATCAGGTTGCAATCAGCACACCACATAGTACGAGGGTACAAACTTCAGTCCACTTCGGCCACCATCGAACTACATCTGCTCGTTGATGTTACCGACCTAATTCGATCAATCCGTTCATCCTCTGCCACCTCATCTGGACTGTACACCCACTTGCGACGGTCGTGGCGGATACGGGGAGTTGACTGTAGCAACCGAGGATACACACACAGACACTCACATGCACAAAGGGGTACGCATAAGGCTGAACATTTTTAGCAGGTATTGCATGGACAAGCACATTCGACATATACCTGGAGCAATCAAGTTGGGTGTGGTATGTGTGACACAGATACAACATATGGATGGGACTATGAAAGATGGGCGCATAGGATGGAGAGGGTGAGAGAATGACAGCAAATTGAGATCATGCATTGCAACTGGGCGAGTAGGGGTAGAGGGAGACAACAGAACTAGAGAGGTGTGAAGAACTGTAATGACAGTTATGTAGCAGTTACAGAGGCAAGGTAAGGGGATGGATGGAGAAGGGGAGGAGAGGAGAGGAGAGGAGAGGAGAGGAGAGGAGAGGAGAGGAGAGGAGAGGAGAGGAGAGGAGAGGAGCAGAGGCTGGAGTACCCTTTTAGGACCCCAGTGGGCCAATGAGCTTCTGCCACGTGGAGGGTACATGTCCCACCCACTCACTGCAGAGCTGCTCTCTGAAGGCTGCTCCCTGCCCTCTGTGGGATGGCAGTAAGGGGGGGAGCAGTGAGAGTGAGGGGGAGTAAGGGAAATGCAAGAGATGAGAGAATGCAAGAGAGGGGGGAATGCAAGAGAGGGAAATGCGGGCCCACCCAGTCAATGCAGAGATGCTGACTGAAGGCTGCTCCTTGCCATCTGTGATGGAAGGGGGGAGCAGTGAGAGTGATGGAAATGACCGAGAGGAACGTGTGAGAAAGGGAAATGCGATGCGACAGGGCATGTGAAGGGGGGATGAACATCCAATCAAGTTGCACAGGCACCCTCACCTTTCACCCTGCTTCAATGCACACTCACCTTTCACAACTGCCCTCATCATAAGAGGTCTTCTCGCTTTCTGTACACGCATTTCGAGGAGGGAGGGAAGGGGCCGCAAGAAAGAGGAGGGAGGGGGAGAGAGGAGTGGGATGTGGGGACAGGACGACGGATGGAGGGAGGCTAGAGAGTCAAGACAGCAGAAGAAAAGCATGGTGTCAGCAACAGGTAAACTGAGTGACGGCAGCATTGTGTGAAAAATGTGTGACAAAGCTGCACTTGAGGCACAACGGGGCGTTACTCACCTGTCTTGGCTTGCCACTTGCCCTTCCACCCCGGGTCCAAGTCATGCTGCTATTCACCTCCTCTTCCCCATCATCGTCTTCCTCCTCCTTTTCTTCCTCATACTTCCCCCCCTCCACATTCCCACCACCACAACCGCCACCAACACATGAGCTCTCCCAATACCCCGCAGAAGCTGACAGCCAATCAGGTTGCGACACGTGGTTCGAACACGAAACCGGATTCCCTCGAAACACCCTGGGTGCTTCAAACATATTTCTCCCACCAGGCCCCTCTGACACGCACTGGTTAATCCTCTTGATTTTCTGACTGGGCTTTTCCGAAGCTAAATTAAGATATTCCGCCAGTGGGTCTGGCGCTGTGGGGACACAGTCACTGATAGTAGCCGGCTCACAGGCAGAGGATGAAACAGGTGGAACGGATGGAATGGGACGGAGTTCCATAACGCCTCTGGGACTTGGTACTGATGATGGAATGCAGCCAGGGGGCGGACTCAACGTCTTTTGAGGTGGCTCACGACCTGGCACTGATGATGCAATGCGGTCAGAGGATGGACTTGTCAGTCTCTCCTTTCCCTCAGGCGCTGTCGACACGTTGAAGAAGTTGCGTGGCAGAATAGTGAGGTTACCAGTTTCAGAAAGTGTTGCTTGGGGATTCGCCCTCAAGCCATTGCTTTTTCCAAGCACCCCTCTCTCCTGGACGAGATACGGCTCCTGCTGACTACAGCTGAACAGACCGCCAGAGCCATCCCAAGCCGCGAATTTGCTGGTCCCGTCTCCTCTCATTCCGTTCCCTTTAGAATCATCATTTTCTTTCCCGTCCTCGGCGTCTTTGGAATCTGGAAAATCCTTATGAAGCAGCTGCGTCCAGTGTCTATTTTCAGCCGACTCTACGTTTTCCTGCCGATGCTCATGATGCTTTCGATGCTTCAGTTCCTTTTGATGCGGCTGTTTCTTCTGATTCTCATGGTTCCCAGAACGATTCTGCATCGCAGAGCATCCAGTCTCTGAAAGAACAACGCTACAGGGTCCCATCTGTACAGGGAGGTCATCGACAGAGGCAGAGTTCACAACTGGTTTCGTACTCATTCCGCTTTCTCTAAGATCAACTCTTCTCACTTCGTCTCCTGTCATTCCGTCTCCTCTCCTACCGTCTGTTCTCCTTCCTTCTCCAGAAATCCAGAACCGCCGGCCGCTGAAAATTCCTCCACTGAAGCCCATACCGCTGCTGATGCTGCTGCGCCTTCTGTTCCGCTTTGGGATGTTATCCCTCTGGGATCCGCCGGTGGTGTTTTTTGCCTCGAACAATCCATCCGGGCCTTGCTCTGCTAGGGATTCTGTGGAATTTCGAGCAGGACGCGATTTTTGCCACGGTAACCACATGCTGAGGTTTTCGCCAAAAGCAACTCGTGGTACGTTGTGAGGAACGACGGACACGCAATGCGGGGAGAAATCTCAATGTTGCAGCACGGCGATCTATGGATGTCTGCTATGCTGCCATAAGCAGAAGACACGCGACGATCATGACGCTGACGCTCCTGGTGGCCGTGCGTACTGAGACTGGGGGGGAAGCATCGTTGCTTGATGTATGAAGATTGGTTTTGAGACGTCTCAAAGCCCTGCGTACTGAGAGCGGGGGGGAAGCATCGTTGCTTGAGGTTGCTACGGCCACACTCCCGCTCTAGTCGCTGTTAATCGTGTATTGTAAGAGCTACGATGTATTGTGCAGAAAACGGTACGGTCGACTGTGGACCCACTAGTTACTTGCATCTGCAGTAGATAATTGCGCAATACAATTAGCGAGATGCAGTAGCCATCACTAAGCAGCATCGCTTCCAAATTTGCACGCTACTTAGCAGTACGGATGAATATTCTGGAAAATGGTCTACGAGTTCTAACTACATCGGTGCCACACCACGCCAGACAGACCGTCTGGTCTGGTGTGGGAGGGAGGGAAGATTTTGAAACGGAGAGCTCGAGAGAAAGGAAGGCTGGCGTTTTGGCGGGAAGCACAACCGTTCTGACAGACCTGCGGGTTTACGCGGTAGTGTGAGCTATCTGGGAGAAAATATACTAGGTACTAATAACGGACGCTCACTTTGTCTAGTGGGCAAAAACCATAACATGGAAATGATATCTACTTTATTGTTCACTATAAAAAGTAAAAGGTACACAGAGAAAACATTTCTTACAAGCATAGAAAGAAAAAGTACCAAGCCTTTTATGGTCATTTGTTCTCAACCTCCAGGGCCAGAGCATGCATCTTTGTCAGCACGGGCACCACCTCTCCAGCCAAACTGGGTCTCTTGCACCTCCTCATATCCGTGCACTTAGCTGCCAGATCAGCCACCTCCATTGCCACATCAGCAGGCCATCCCCCAGCCCCCTCATCCAAAACTTCCTCCAGCTCCTTGTTCCCTTCCACCACTCCAGTCACCACGCTCAGCGCTGACGTGGCATTGCGTCCAGTCAGCAACTGCATGAGCACCACTCCCAGCGCATACACGTCAGAAGACGGGACCAGCTCCTCAGTTCTTGGATATTCCGGATCCAGAAAAACCACATCTTCCACTCTCGCCCTCCCAGTCCTCTGGTTCTGACTCAGAGCTGAGAAGCCAACACGAGCCAGCTTGCTCACCAACCTGCGCCCAGAAAGATTCGAACCGGAGACTTCTGCCGGTGCTGCAGCCTTTGCTCCATCCTCCCTCTGAAACCTGGGCCACCACAAAGGGGCCCTTAGAGTCATACCAGCATCCCCCCTCTCTCCCACCACCCCTTCATCGCACCCGCTTCCATCCTTCCCCCGCCCGGCCTTCTCCTCACAGAAAAGGACGATGTTTGCCGGCCGGAGATCCCGATGGAGCACCGGGTGCGGCTGCTGCTGGTGCAGGAACAGCAGAGCGGCCGACACCTCATAAGCAATCCGCACCCGGACAAACCACGGGAGAGGCGGTAACCGCGCCACGCGGTTACCATACGGCAGGTGATCGGCGAGAGATACGTGAGGGATACGCGGGTAAACCAGACAGGGGGATTCAAGGGAGTAGCCAAGGAGGGGGATGATGTGGGGGTGGGAGAGGGAGGAGAGGGTTTCAGTCTCCTTGATCAGCTGTAGCATGGGCGTGGCCTTGCTGTGTTGGTCCAGCACCTCTATAGTAACATCCTGTAGCGGAACACCTCCAGCAGAATTGGGTGGTAACCGCATGGAGGCATCGACGCGACCAGAGCAGCCCTCCAGACCCCCGGGAAGGGCTGAGAGGATGTCGTGTCGAGAGAACACCACACAGGTGGGATGTGCAGGCGCTGCACTGGCTTCCGCAGCAGCAGCAGGTACAGCATTGTCAGAAGCAGCAGCGTCCCCATCGTTAGGAGCAGGAGGATCATGCGAACAGATGGCCGGGGTGATGATGTTACCATCCAAACCAGAACCAGCAGCACCAGCAGCACCAGAAGAACCTCCAGCACCATCAGCACCAGCACCAACACCATCAGAAGCATCATCAGCAGCAGCAGCACCGGCCTCAAGAGCACGGCTGCATGCATTCAGCACAGCAATCATGCCATCCGCCACACTCGCCATCGAGGAACCTTCCACCAACTTGCTGAGCACACTGGGCTTCACGTCCAGTTGCTGCAAGTCCAGATAAAGCCCCTTCTTTAAAGCCTGCAGCTGACTTATCTCCCCCTCCAAATACACCTCCCCCTCTTCCTTCCCCTCCTTCCCTTCCTTCCCTTCCTTCCCTCTCCACTGAAGCTCCTTCCTCTCCCCCTTCCAACGTGCTTCTTTCTTCACCTGCCCGTGCACGTCGGGTATGCTATACTCGAACCCGACTGCCCGGAAAACCTCTATGACAGTGCTCGACATGCTTCCAGGCAGCTCGAAAGTTTTCCGGCTGCCCTTTTCGCAGAGGCTCATCAGCTCTCTCTTCAGCTGATTGGCCGCTTTGGTGTTCGCATCCAGTTCGCTGCCGTCAATCGAGAACAAAACTTTCTTCTGCCCGGCCTCTGCAGCTGGAGGTGCCTCAGAATCACCAGCCACAGGTGGCTCCACAGCTTCAGGTGAAACCTCAGGTGCTGCTTTAGAATGCTGCATCTTTGCAGCGCCATCACTTCCCTTAAGCTTCAGTGATCCCTCCTCTCCTCCCTCCCCTCCTTCACTCACCCCTCCCAGAGCCAACACGAGCGCCAGCAATCCCTCCTGTGCCTTCCGCACTCCCTCACTCACTCCCACTGCCACCTTTCCTTCCTCCAGTGCCTCCTCCATGCCCCTCACTTCCCTCCTCCCTTCCTCATCCATCCTCTCTACAAGCGCCTTCGGCAGCCTCTTTACAGCCTGCTTCCACACGGCTTTCATCCCGCCCTCTATAATCACACTCAAGTCGTGGAACTTAACTAAAAGCATCAGTGGCGAGGCAGACAAGGAAGTTGCGAGGAAGATTCCGGGCGCCAGCTCATCGCTGACTGCGCCGCCCACCGCGTGCAGCCAGAGCAGGGCGGCAGGCTCGTCCGCTAGTGCCACGTCAGTAACCTGCGTAACCAGATTGAAGACGCGGGAAGTTGCAGTCTCAACAGGAGCAAATCCCTGCATCTTCCCCCGAAGCTTCCTCGCTGCCTCCACCAGCTCACCCAGCTTCTTGGAAACTTCCGCAGCCAGCATCCCCACCTCACTCTCCCCTCGTGCTTTCAAACACAACTCCTCACTCTCACCCTCTTCTCCCTCCTCCCCATCCTCCCACTCCTCCTCGTCCTCGTCCCCCTCCTCCACCTCCTCACCCACCACCTCCTCCTCCTCTGCCCGCGCCTCGGGAGTATCCCAATAGGAATCAGGCAAGGCTCGGGCCCAGGACGGGGGGCGCAGCCAATACGGCCTCTGCTGCTCCCCGCTCGCTTCATTCCCGGCCTTCTTCCCCGCTCTTTCACCAACAGCAGGAGCATCAGAAGCAGCAGAACCAGCAGGAGCGGTAGAAGCGGTGGGGGCAGTGGTGACGGCAGCAGTGGTGGTGGTGGTAAGAGCAGTAGCAGCAGCAGTAGATTCTCGGCCTTCCACCTCCGGCAGCAGAAGAAGCTTCCTCCCACTGATGTTCCCCACGTGCCGAACCAGCCGATCCTCCAGCAGACGTTTGGCGGCAGCCATGGCGAGCATCGCCAGAGGCTCGGCAACAGGCTCGGCAGCTCCCGAACCTGCTGCGGTTACAGAAACGGACGAAGTGACTTGAACTGTGGATGACACTTGTCCAGATGCTGATGTAACCTGAGTGGCTGACGTGGACGAGGATGACGTGGCAGCCAGGAGAGAGGGGAGTGCCGGTGCTGGCGCTGATGATGCCCCTGCAGCAGGGGATGACACTGACGTGGCAGAAAGGGATTGGGACGGAGGGTGAGGCATGGAGGCGAGCCATTGGTTCAGCATCTGCATGCGGGAGAGCATCATAGGGGGGATTCTTCCAGGGGAATTCTCAGGTGATTTCTCAGGTGTTTTTCCAGGAGAATTCTTGGGAGAGCCTCCGCGCGCTGCTGCTGGCGCAAGCGCCAGCGCAGGCGGAACCAGATTCTCGGGCAGAGACGGCATCAGCGACCACACGTTCCCTCCCCCTCCTCCTCCTCCCCCCCCACCTGAGTATCCCCCCCCTCCTCCCCCATACCCTCCGCCCGCATTCCCCCGATACCCGCTCTCCCCGCCGCTCCCCCCACCCCCTCCCCCAAACGCTCCCCCCGTCCCAGAGCTTCCCCCTGAATACGCTCCTCCCCCTCCGCTTCCCGCTCCCCCTCCCCCGCCTCCCTGGTTTCCCCCGCCGCTCCCGCTCGACCCGCCGCCAGCCGCCGCGGCCGCCGCCGCCGCAGCAGCTCGCGCCTTCGCCTCTTCCTCCTCTTCCCTCGTCATAGGCCCCTCTCTCACGACTTTACACACGACCCACACGGGAAACCCGCTCCTCTTGTCTTCGTACATTTCCAAATCCGATTTTAGAGTGTATTCATACATCTTCCACTTCTCCTTCTCCCCCGCCGGCCCCTCCCGCGTCCCGGGCAGCTTGAAACGAAACATCCGTCGCTCGGGCCGGAAAAGAAGAGCCCCTCCCATCCCCGCTCCCGCAACTCCGCCCACTCCGCCCGCGCACACTCCCCCCGCACCCACGGAAGCGCCAAGGCTCGGCGCAAGATCCGCGAACGGCGTGGGCTGGCACGACTCCTTCCAGCAGGGCGGCTTCGGGTCGGACGGCGCCATATCCGCCTCTCTCCGCCTGCGGCGCTCGTTCGGCCGCCATTCCGGTCTAACGAAAAAGAACCCCGTCAAGCCCTTGCCGTCCGGGGAGACGTCTAATCCGGGAAGGTGCCACGGCCTGGGGAACTTAAGGAGCTCGATTTCGGGGATTAGTCCGTCGCAGTCCGCGACGCGTCTTAATCTCTGGACTAGGAGGCGGTCTAGGCCCACGTCTTCTACCTCGCCGCGAACCTTCCGCGAAAGGTACTGAAAGACCTCCGCGTCGACGGGCGCGAAGCGGATTCCGCGCGGAATCGGCGCGCAGCTGAGCGCCACGTGGATCTGACTCACTGCTTGCGAGAACGCCTCCTGCTTCGCGGCGCGAACGAGCGACTCTATCCCCGCGCGCTCCGCGGAGAGTTGCGCGCGCTCGGCGGAGAGCTGTCCCTTGTCCCCCGCGAGCTGGCGCGCGCGGGTTTCGAGCCCGCGCACGGTGCTCTCCAGCGCACGAACGCGGTCCTCGAGCGCGGACTTGTCCGCGGAAAGCTGGCGCATGGCCGCCTGGTTGCGCGCAACCTCCTCTCTGAGCACGTCGCGCTCCATCACAACCTTGCGCATCTCCGCCTCCGTGCGCGACATGTTGAGCAGCAGCGCCTGCTCCACGCTCAGGCGGCTTCCGCCGATAAGGTGGTTTCCGCCGCCGCCGAGGTGGGCGGAGTTTTGAGGCGCCTCGAACATTCCGCCGGGAACCAGCGACGTGCAGTTCTGGCCGCCGCCGTTGAAGCCTCCGCCGCCGTTTATGTTCGCGTTATTGTAGTTCCCGTTACTGTTGTTGAAATTGCTGCCCGTGAACGTGCCGGACACGTGGTTGACTACGGTTGAAACCGTGGTTGGCGGCGAGCCTCCCTGCCACGTGGTCGCCGGTGATAGGTCTTGGTGGTTGTCGTTGTGTTGCTGCTGCTGACTCAGCACCGGTTGCTGCTGATTCAGCACCGATTGCTGCTGATGCTGATGCGGCTGCTGCTGCTTCTGGAGCTGCTGCTGCAGCATCTGAAGCTGATGCTGCTGCAGAAAATATTGGCGGGAAACTTGCTCGTCCCCGCAAGCCATAATATTTCCGCCGCCAACAAACTGAAGTCCGTTTTCCGCGCAATACCCTCCGCCTCCGCCGCCGCCGCCAACGCTGCTTCCATCAGGAGTGGTAATTGATCCGTCTGGGATGAAATCTAGACCGTCCGATGAAAGGTCCGCGTCGCCTGTCAGGCAACCCGCCATTCCCGGCATGCCTGTCCCCATCATTGTCCCTCTAAAGGCCGCTTCGTCCGCGTCAAGAAACGCGATCGCGCGATGGATATCGTCCGCCGGCGCGGCTACTCCGCGCAGTTCGGGAAGCGTGTCTATAAATCTCATATCGATGTCCTCCATATCGGGTACTGGAATCTCCGCATAATCGAACTTCATAGGAGCAGCCATGGCTGTGGAAATACCTACCGATGCTTCTACTATTTCTTATCTGACTCACTTAGGTTCCTAACACCAGACCTGATTTCCGAACCTTCCAGAAGGTGCGTTTCACTTGTGCATTACAAAGCTGCTGGGTTGCAAGCAGCTTGGAGGGGAAGCGGTGATTCACACAGCGGTTACCTAGTGGTTAGCAAGATGCAAGCTTGGGAAATAAGCGATGAGCCAGGCAGTCCAAGGGCCTGAACTGAAGGCCCACGGGAAAGGGTGAATCTGCTTCTGCAGCGAAGACGCGGGTGAGGTTTCTGGTTCAGAGTGACAAGAGCGGCCACACGACACGTGCTGTATGTATTTCGAGATTCGACAGCACAGCATGGCTGTGTGATGCGCGGGAAGCGCAGCACAGCGAGACATGAAACAGACGCTTGGAAGAGAAGCTCTCGAAGCACAGTAGCAGGCTCTCTCAAACAAAGATGGTTGCTTGGAACAGAAGGTCGGGAGGGAAGCTTGCAAGATAGGCTGGGGAGGAATAAAGGGAATGCCACCAACTGACAAATCCGACCAGCCCGCCCTCCTCCAAGTCGTCGCGTGACTCGTCATGAGTCGCGTCGCTTGCCTTCTGATTGATGGAGTCACCGTGTCGCACCAGCACGCAGCTCGCACAAGATTCTTGAGGTGCAAAGTCTAAAAGACTGGGTTGTTCAGGATTCGGGATTCTCTAGAAGAGGGGCACGGCTGAAAATTACTCCCGAAGTCACCTGCAAGCTCTTACGTTGGCCCCAGCAGCGGGTTTGATTCTGTGTACTGAGGATGTCGGGACATTGCGGGAAGTAGACCAGTTTTCATGATAACATTGACCAGGAACATTTTTCTAGGGAAGCCTTGAGGACATTCGGGTAGCTGCCCAGACCACAATTCCACCCACCTCCTGCTTCGCTTTTCGCAGAAGCTTGCAGTTGTGTAGCTCGTGTACGCGAAACTGGAAGCCTCGATTAGTGAGAAATATGCGACCTGCCTTAACGTGAAGGTACACTTTCTAGCAGTGAGAAGTAAAGCTTTGTTATGAGATGGGGTAACCAGGTTTTCTATGATATAAGGTCTAACAAAACCAAAGGGGTGATGGGAAATGTTTGGGTGAAAGACCCTCTGAGAGAGAGCTCCAATACGTTCTTTACTACAAACCTCAGTCAAGCGCTTCTGAACATACGATACAACCACAGCAAACAAAAAAACCTGTTGTTCGAATGACCTACTTCTTTCCTGAACAGTTGGTTGCGGCACATTCATAATCGTTTTATATGGAGGAAGCGGCAGCATGTCGACCTCAACGTGTACTCGCATGTACTAACATGTTTAGTTACTGCACCTGAATTGATTACATAATTGGAATCGCGTAACTAGGTGGCGGCGCTGCGCTGGAGCATGATGCAGCATGTCTTGCCATATGAGCTTTTAACCCTGCTTTCCAGATTCCAAATCTTCCTCTCCAGCCCTACCTGTCGCAAGCAGTCCTGCTCGCTCCTCTTCCCCTCCACTCACATTCCCCTCCGATGCTCTAGGAGAAGGCTGGCCTGCCTTGACCATTCCAGTCTCCTTGCCGTCCTTTTCCTTCTTGCCCTTCTCAACGGCCCAGCTATAAAGCACCATTCCTACTACAGCCATGAGCATGCCCATCACATTCTTCATGGTGATTGGTGAGCTGAAAAGGATGAAGCCCAAAACGAGGACAAGGACTGTCTTCATGTGACCAAGGACCTGGAATGACGTTGCTGAGAACTTTCCAATGCAGAGATACTGGCTGAGATTGCAGACGACAGCCAGCAAGCAGGAGAGCACGATGAAAGCCTGCAGGGGTTCAGGGGAGAGAATATGAGTAGTGAATGTTGATTTATTGGAGGAGCGGAAAATGAGCAAGATCAATTTCAGGAATGCTGAATTAAAAGGGGGATACATTTCAGCTTGGACCATGAAAGTTAGATGAGATCAAGTACGATGACAGTGCTGAATACAACGGGACAGGCAGAGCTGGATAGGATGGGGAAAGTAGAACAATGGCGTTAAATTGATCTCACCGTGCATCCAGCAGTAAGGGTGTATTCTGTAATGTTCAGACTTGTAACAAAATAGTCAACAAAGGGGCCAAGCACCACCAGAGATGCTGCTTGGATGGGTGCAGTTTGGCTGAGCAGGTCAAAAGACCCAATGTTGTACTTGGTTTGAAGGGACCCGATGAACTGAGAAAGGATCAGGCAGAAGAAAAAGAAGAAGAAAAAACGTGTAAGGCATGATCGTAGACAGTACATGAGCACATGAGTTGCAGTCATAACAAAACACAACCACTTCGAGTAGAATACACACATGCATTCGCTGGTGGTTTCACATACTGAAAGCAGACATGCGTGTGGATGTGTGGGGGAGAGAGGAGGGAGGAAAGGAGGGGGGGTTGGATGGTCATATCTCACAATTTGCTGCAGGGAAGTGCTGATCACGGCGACAAGAGCAGCAAGAAAACCCATAAGGTTCATGCTGACGTCAGTGACGGTACAGACTCCCACTCCCACCATCACAACGACCACTGAGAATTTTACTTCTCGAGAATAAGCCTTGGAGTGAAGCAACGCTTCAAAGAGACACACGGTCGGTATGATACTGAGTTTCGCAATCTGTTGAATGACACATTGATTGTGATTTAGAGGCATGATGGAATTAGAGATGGCAATCAACAGCTCTGAATAGTGCTTCTTGAAGCAGTTAGATGAGCTTAATCTGAGTTAACAACGCCAGTGCGTAGCCTGATTTAACTAAAGCACGGAATTTCATCTGCAAAGACTGTTCGCACCTGGTAGAAGCCAACGGTGTTGAGCATGAGGCTGAGATTCATAGAGACAATGGAAAGATTCGCGACGATGGAGAACCAGGCGAGCTCCAAAAACGGCACGGTGGCTTTGCTTGAAATATAACCCACTGCAGCTGATGCCATGCCGACCAACGCCGTGACCGCGAAATGGAACCCCGTCAATGTGCAAGCTGAAACGGTAGTTGACACAAGAAGACAATACGGCTTTATTTTACTTTGATCGCTTGTGTGATTGAAATAACGAGAGACGGATTTAGCTTCAACAATCTGTTTTTTATCTTCAGTGGGTGTGGTCAGTATGAATTACGTACTAGCCCATACTCTCAGGTGATTACCTACACTTACATAAAAGTATACTTACCGAATTTGAAGCCATAGCCTGACATAACTTGTTTGTTGACCATGATAATGCCGACTGAGCTGACCACATTCATAGTCCATGCTCCTACGGCCGAAACGGCTGCTGGATTGTTAACCATCTTGAAAAACTCTCTGATGTAACGAGTTCGATGATTGTATGCCGCACGGAGAGGTGTTAACCCTAACAGCCGGCAGCAGCCACTACAGCACACAGGCTAAACACATTCAACTTCTGCTCCACTCAGTTGCCGCCTAAACCTAATAGCCAGATCTGCACGAATCAGCCTGTCCTTGCTTGTCGACGACAAGCCCGGTGCTGACACTCGGCGTCGCTATTGCTCTCAAGGAAATGCTTGACTAAGGTCTTAGGTACCAAGGTCTTGATATCGGGGCCTTGGAAATGGCCGAAAGCTGATAGAGAACGCGTTTACCCTCGAGATTCCCTGAAGCTCGGCACTGAAAAAGCTCCCCAAATTCATCCCAGAATGTTCTTTTCAGCGAGGCAGGGAGTCAGTTAGTTCGGTTCGGTTCGGTCAATCACTGCGATCCGTCAGTTTCAAGGTTATCGTTTTGGCAGTTGGTGTGGCGCGAAGCGTAGTGGAGGGAGGGAGGGAAACCGCTCGTGGGGTCTCTCGAGCGTTGGGGCAGGCTCGGCGATATTTGGACAAGAGACAAATGGGCGTTAGAAACTGTAAGGAAAATTCCTTTTCCTTACTTCGCATCCCTGCTCAACGCGTACATCACTGTAGCACCACAGTCAGCACCGTTACCACTCGCAACCCTCGCATCGACAATCTGCCCGCCACCTTCGCACATCGCACCCCGACCTCACGGCTCGACGGGTAACCCGCGCTCCGGGCCTCCGATTCGACACTTTTCCCAACCTCAGTCCCAGGCCCGTCGCGCGACAACCACAGTCCATTACCGTTACCACTGTAGTTTCGCTATATATTCTTCGCTCAGGCCTTCGCTCATTGTACTCTTGCTTCGATAGTGCAATTCTCGTTCGTTCACTCAATTGCACTCGTAACACTTGGTATTCAGAGCCTACGACCTCTTC